GACGCAGAGGAAGAAGACGGCGACGATGAAGAGGAGAGAGCGAGAGGAGATAACAGAGAAATCACGAGGCACCAGAAGATCACAAGCGAAGGATGATGATGGTGATGGTGATGGTGATGGAAGAAGCCAGTGTGATAGACATTGGAGAGGAAATGATAAGATCTAGAGGAGGAGGAGGAGGAAGAAGGAAGGGAATGATGAGGAACCGCCATGGCTGCCGCTTGAAGAGCTTTAACGACGCGAAGAAAACGATAGACAAACAAAGACAACCACGGAACGGAACCACACCACTGACTCTGGAGGGAGGGAGGGATCGTCGTTATTATATGGCTTCAATGGTGGAGACGAGTCGGCTGGTGGGACCCTCTAGTCCAACTTGGACATCAGATGGGGCCCATTTAAAGTCATGACATGGCAATTGGTAGTGGAATCTTGTGGAGACGGTCACATGTGGTGAGGATTCCATGTGAAATGGACAAAGCAAATTTGTTTTGTTTGGTATTACTATAGTTTAATATGAAATATACACCAATCTTGAATAAAATCAGTGTCAAAAAAAAAAAGCGATAGGCGTCTGAAACAATTATTATATAATGGTAACACTGAATAAACAATTATAACAAAATGAGATAAAATCAATATTATATAATGGTTACACTGAATAAAATAAAGTGCATTGTGCATATATCACAATTAAGCTCGTGAGTTTATAAATTTCCGTTTCTACCATAAATCGTGATGGTGATGTAATCAAATATCAATTTGCATTTTGTCTTTTTCACGATTGATTCTATCTGTAATTTTTAGTTAAAATGTCTAGTGATTCCGTGAATCGTGATGAATTTTTCCTTTTACCAAAAAAGCAAAAAAAATGGGATCGAACCCACCGTATTAACGAAGATTGTAGAATCCGACCACTATCCCACGTGATTAACGCACATGACACCCTCGGTTATGTGGTGTGCCTGCCTCATTAAAAGTTTTTAATAAATTAGTTCTTTTTCTGCTAAACCACATTTTAAATTACATACAGAGTCTTGTAGTGATTATTGGTTAGTGACTTAGTGTTACTTATACTATTAATATCCATAATCCATTCCTAAGAGGCAGCTCATGTGCCGTACGTACTCTGCTCTGTCTAGATAGATAAAGTAAATGACGAAATTAGGTTGAGACACACAAACATCAGAATTCTTATGTGTCTATTTCAGTAAAGTTATTTAAATCTGAGCATATATTATTTTTTGGTTTAGAACTATTTATTGATTATATAGATAACAATTTCACGACTCATGAGACATAAATCGCACTGCTTGATGTAAGATCATACTTAGATTTTATTTCAGAAGGACCACTATAAATTTCTTACCCATCCATATATATGAAACGGAACTATACTTCTAGGATTAGTCTTCTTTTAGTGTATATGTTTATCTTAGCTTTGAATAAAAAATAAATTATAATTATATTGATCCAGTAACAATAACATGTTAATTCTAGAGTTTTTTACATACATTTTTAATCTCTTATAGTTTTCTTTTAGTACTAAGCAAATCATTGGATTCACAATTTTTTTTAATTTTATTTTGTTTTCAGCTTACGCCACACACATAACTACATAAGTGACATAACCCATTTTGTTAATTAGAATAAGCTGAACCAATACGTCTGTAAATTGTCCAACTTCAGGAGAAAAATATATAGAAATGTTCCGACTTTAATTATTGCATATCTAGTCATGTACATTAACATTCGTTAAAATAATAAACTAAAATCACACCCAAAAAAAAAAAAACTAAAAGGCCATATCATTGTCCACGATCATGTTTGTTGTTGATACGACAAATATATCTTTCGAATGTTGCCTACAACAATGCAAGTTTAATTTACTATATATTTCAAAATTTTGCATCGTATAAAGGTTGAGTGTTATCTTACTCATCAGTCATCACTCGCTAGAACGTGTAAGTTTGATCGCGACTAATATTTACTAATTTCATAATGAAATCGATTGGAAACGTAGAAAAATAAACAAGACCACGTACAATCAGAGCCGCTCTGAGTCTTAAAATGCTACAAACAGGAAACACAATGACACATGCAAAAGCAAATGATTGGCTTCAAAGAGAACAAAACAACACAAAAAAAGAACTAATTATTACCCCCATAATCTCTTACCAGGGACTCTAATGTTTAGTTTCTTCCCCACTTAAGTAAGAGACAACTTTTAGCACAATATATATAAGAAACAAAATAAATCATTAATTCATTCTCACAAAGTCACAAAAAAAAAACATAAGGATACACCCATATAGTAATAAGCAGTCAAATTCAACAATAAAAACGACAGTCATAACTAAAAGAAAGAAGAAGATGGAAAAGAGAAAGAAAAAATATATATACTTAATGGTGCGAAAATTTGAAAAAATGATCAGAAAACAGCGATATAATAGCTAAAGGAAGAAAAATGAGAAAATATATTGATAGTGATTTAAATTTATTTTGTTACTCAGTTACTCATACTAGGCTAATACCTGCTGTATGCGCAGGTTTCTTCATACTTAATTTTGAATAATTATAAGGTTTAGATTGAATTTGTAAATATATATAAAAAATATGATTCATTTTATTAAACCCAGACCCAAGACAATTAAAAGCCTTCTCAAAAAAATTGATGAAGAGTGTGCAAAACCTTTGGTAATTGGATCACTAAAGTGATTGGACGAGAACAACTTCACACAAAGAACATCAAAAAGGTGATTAAGAACATATTAAATTCTACAAAGTTTGCACTACTACATCAAAGAAAGTTCAAACACTTTAATACATAAATTATTCGGAGTTTTTGGAACAGTTAACTTGAAAAGTAAAATATGAAAAACAAACCAACATTTTTTGAATTTAAAGTCTGTTTAAAAATAAATAGAAAAACTAATGCTAATATTCAAACCTTCTAAATAATATTGTCATTGTTCTTGGAGAATAAAAACAATTTATATGTGATTGATAACTGACATAATGATTGATAGCTGACATATTGCAAGCATACATTCTTCGATTAGGTGGGCAATTACTCTGGTTGGTTACTATTTCAAATTTTCGATTTTAGATGTAAATTATATAGAACAAAAGAGTGGTTTTGCAAACAATTATGTTTGTTTGGGAGGTTTTATCATAAAACTCATAGTATTAGACAGTCAATAATAAACTAAAGTACTAGTAACTTTAATTTGAATTTTTTTTGACTATGCACATATGTGTGAGTTAAAATCTAGTAATACATTCATTCCATTATTTATCATGGAACTCATATACTATTCATTGATACGTGAAAATTCAGATGAGGATAGCGAACTATATTAATTGGAATAAGCTGAGTCGATACGTTTGCAAATTGTCCAACTTTTGAATAAAAATGTATAGAAATATATACATATATAGTATATAGTAATAAAGCAGGATAATTTAAACAACAAAAGCGACAGTCATTACTAAAAGAAAGAAGAAGACTGAACAAAGAGAAAGAAAAACATATCTACTTATTATGATGCTGAAAAACGAGAAACAATCAAACATAAAACGGAGTTAGTAACTTTAAGAAGAAAAATGAGAAAATATATCGATTGTGACTGTTTGCAGTTTTTAGAATAGTTTTTGGTTTTAGTTTTTGAAAAACTATTTTTTTAGCCATTCAAGTTTTTAAGTAAATAGATTCCCTAAATTATAGGAAAACTAGTTTTTCATGGTTTTTAACATTTTACAAACAAAAATCAAAAACCATAATTTGTGAGTTTTTTGAAAACTGATCATACTTTTTCGTTTTTGTAATCTATGTATATATTTTATAGATATTTTTTTTGATATTGCTTATTATTTTCATAAGAATTAGTATTTGTATTTATTAATAAATTATATTTATTTGGTTTTGGTACTGTTTGGTATTACTTTAAATATTTAATACAAAAAAACTAAAACAAAACATAAAATCATATCTTATAGTTAAGTTAATATTTTATGTTAAAAATATATATGTAAAAAACTAAATAAATCTCCATTTAAGTTTTTTTGTAAAAATAACACTTACAACAAAAAAACAAAAATTCGAAATTTAAAATCAAAAATCAGAATACCATATTATTATTGATAAATCTCACACATTTGTTTCAATCATTTAAAAAACATAAAACAAATTTTATCTCCATTTTTAACAGGCATCTCTAAAAATGTGCAATAATAAGCTTATTTTATTTTAGTTTTATCACACAAGCTTATGTACATTTTTACTGATAATTTTATCATTACAGTAAAACCTCTATAAATTAATAATTTTGGGATTTCAAAAATTTATTAATTTATAGAGTTATTAATTAATCGATAAATTAATAATTATTAATTTATCAAGAAATTAATATTTTATTAATTTATAGAAAAATATTTTAGTTTAAATTCAAAATATTTGTCAAAAAACAATAAATATTGTGAAATTATTAACAATAAATATGTTAGAAACTAAAATTTATAAACATAATAACATTTTTTTGTAAAACAAATTATAGGTAAAAACAAAAAACTAAAAAAGTTACAATTCAAGTTTTTTAAAACCCAAAATCTACTGCAAAAACAAAAACCTAATACTAAAAACCAAAAACTCCAAAAATCTAAAACCAAAAGCCAAAAACCAAAATCTAAAACTAAAAACTACATAAACATTCATCACCTTAAGTTTTTTTGTTGTTGAAGATTTTTTGTTTTTGTTGTTTATACTTTTGTTACTCAGTTCCTAATGTTAACTTAATTTGGTGTTTGTAGTGTTGGGATTCATTACAACATTATGATTTGTATCCACTAAAATTCGTCTCGAGTGAGTTTGTTGTATCATTGTGGAAACCAAAGGGAACCAAAAACCTGAAGATATTGGGCCCAATAAAGTTACAGACTAATGCAAAACCCAATAAATAGACGAAACCCTATTTAGTAATTTTCCTAAACCGGATCACTAAGGGGAACCAAACCGGCAGCCAAAAATTGAAACGTCGGGTTCGTTACACCAGAGAAAGCCCGAGCAAAAAGTGTAAACCATGGAGAAGATTTCAGCAGCTTGCGCCATGGACTGGAGCATCAAGCTCGAGAAAGCTCTTCGTTCTAAAAACCCAGGTGCTTAAAATCCTCAAATCCTTTACCTTTTCAATTATGTAGTGCTTGGAAATTTTGATTTTTTTTTGCTCCACTTGTTGATGAACATCAAGCAGGCCTGCTCTGAATTACAATTACAAATATCTAGAATGAAGGAAGAGGCTGCCTTAACTTTATTTGCGAATGTACGTTCTTTGTTGGGTTCTCTATGACTATGGAAGTTAAAGTTTCGTTCTTTTTGTTGGTTATTATACCAGTTAGAGCCGTTGAAGCTATCCTGGACATTGGTGGGAAGCTTGAACAGTGGAGCAAAGAACCAGAGCCTGCAATTTCCGTTTACAATTTATTCGAATTGATTCCTCAAGAAGATAATCTCTTTTCCAACACTATCTTATTAAGGCTAGTTGACGCGTTTTGCTTTGGGGATAAGCTTGTCAAGGTTGCTGTTGTCGGGGTTTTTATGTCTATGTTCAAGATAAGCCGAGGGAAGAACAAGACTAAATGCGCAACTTGGTTTCTGTCAAAGGCTAGGGTGCATAACCACTTGGAAATTCTTAGACGAGTGAAGAGTGTTTATGATAAGGGTGATACTGAGGCAAAGGCTTTGGCTTTGATTCTGTTTGGTTGTTGGAGAGATTTCGCCAGCGAGTTTGCTCCGGTACGGTACTTGATTTTCACCAGTATGGTTTCTTCACATGATCTCGAGGTAAATATAGATTTATTTCCTTTTTTTGGTGTGTCTGCTTGGGTTTTTTTTGTTGTGTTGAAGAGCCTAACAACTTGATGCATAAGATGAGTAGTGTTATAATCAGTTTTCCTCTTGCAGGTAAGATCATCTCTGTTTGCTGCAGGTTGCTTTTGTGAAATGGCAGATGACTTTGCATTGGTTGTTCTGGGGATGTTACATGACATGGTGAAGTTCCCGGAGATAAAGCCAAAGACCAGGTTAGCTGCTGTGCGAGTTTTTGCAAAAATGGGATGCTCACATGCAATTGCTAATAGAGCATTCAAGGTTCTTTGTCTAAATCTTATTCCATCTGCTTTCAATGCTCATAGATTTTTATGTATAGTATGCCATAATGAATTTTCTGGAAAAACGGAGATGAAACCGGAATTTAATTTCAACTGTTGTCACCATCTTGAGATTTGAAACTGTAGTAGATTTGAGTTTTTATTCTTATCATGTGATTCTCCCAATATACGGACTATCATAGCTATTGATGCATTAGTTGAAGCCATCTGTGTTAAACTTCAGCGAATGATTATGTTATTGCAGATCTGTATGAAGCTAATGCTGGAGTCTTCGGACCAGGAGAATGTGGTTCCATTTCTGGTTTCCCTGACTAAGCTTGCTTCAAGTTCTACTCAACTTGCTTCTGAACTGGTATGCTCATTTTTTCGCTTTTTTTTTTTTTTTTTTCATTCTCCAGACTAAAAGAGAAATGTCTAATATGATCGACTGTGGCTGCAGGCAGAGGTTATCATGCCATTTCTGGGTGAAGATAAGTCCTCTCATGTTCGAGCTGCGGTACTAAGATGTCTCCACTTTCTCATTAAAAGAGGGATGTGCTTCTCTCTTGTCCATGAAATCGAAACTGCAAAATTTTCCAGCTTTCTAACACAAGCAGAGCTCTCATCAGATATGCAGCTTAAAGCTCTTCAAATTTTTCAAAAGGTGATCAATAATCCAGATTATACTATACTCCCGTATTTTTTGTCTTAAGTTGAGGATGCTTACTTATCTTCGATGCGAATGCAGATAGTTGTCTACAAACTATGTATGGCGGATGCGTCGGAATTGCATCAGCTCATAGCTATTGTTGAGAATGCATCTCATTTGCAGATCTTCTCAGGCGGTTGTTTAGCTATCAGTATTTTGGTGGATATATGGAAACAAATAGTCCGGACAGCAGAAATAAGATCAGTTGAGGTTTCTTCGACATCTCTGCCGCTGCAGCTCGTTGTCTTAATCATGGACAGGCTCACCTTGCTGGGAAAATCATGTTCTGATCCTTTTCAAGCTGACTGTGAACTATTTGGGGAGATTCAAGACCTATTCGATGTTCTCCTCCTATTAGTTGACGAAAAGCCTGAAATAAGGCTGCTAGTTCTTGACAAAGTCAGGTTATTCCTAGAGTATATTGTGAACATAACTGATGGCTTAAGAGTAACAGATGGAGCTCATGAATTGCTGCTTGGCGTTATCAGTTATAAAAGTACAAGAGCGGCGGTCGTGAGGTCAGAGCTTCTAGTATCAGTACACAAGTTCCTGATAGTGTTCTTGGAGAATCTTGACAGGGATGATTCTGTTTTGTCTCAAGTTAATGAAAAAGTGAAGCAAATCACTGAGTGTGTACGTTCATGCAGCTTCTTTGATTGCCACACACAAATGAAGTTTACTCTGCTATTACATTCTCCAATTATTTGGGGATTCCTTGTGAATGAGATAGGGACCAATAATGACGCAGATGGAAACTCAGGCTTCTCACTTGTTGCTGATATGTTTAACTATGGAGTCGTCTCTCTTGAATGTTCGACTCAGATGTTAACGGAGAGAAACTACTGGCCTGCTTATAGAGCTGGGGTTTACGCAGCACGTTTGGGTTCATGGGTCACATCTGCTTTGATTTTTGACCAGCTTAAGACCAATGTCCAGTCTGATATTAACTGTTTTTGGTTGAAGTCATTAGCCTATTTATCTCATGCTGAAGGGAAATTCCAACTGCTTCTCATGCCAAGTGCTAGTTTCAAGTTAGTCATTTGGTTGAGAAGTAGCGGTTACTTACCAGAACTCTCCAAAGATGCATCTGGAGAGTTTGCCCACTGCGTAGCTCTTCATGAAGCATATATGAATCTGCAGTCGTCTCTGGGAATGCTGGGAAATATTAAAGCCTCGAGTGAAGTGTTCTGTTTCCAAACGTGGTTCTTGGTTCTAAAGACTCGGATACTGGAAACTGTGATTGATCTCGTCGAATGCCTCGGGCTGCTTAACCAAGATATCAGCAGCAAGAAGCAGGTGGATGAAAAGATCTCGACTGGTTACAGTTCTCTGCAGCAGCTTCCTCGTATCTCTATTCAGCTTCAAAAGTTGGCGAAGGAGTTTGATGTGTTAGCGACGTGTTTTATTGACATAGACCATAGCAGCTCCAGCGTTATCGCAACTCTTTCTCTGAGCTGTTCAGTTCTGGCTTTTGCTACTGGAATTGTTCTTTTCCTTCCAGGTTTTTCTTTTCATGATAATTTTGTTCCTTTCACCTCACAAAGTGGTATATGCTCGAGGCTTGTACAAGATTTAGTTCAACGGCTATGGAAAGTGGACCCTGAAGTCTGCGAAAAGCTTAGCATACTCGTGAAGGCAAACGAATCACGAAACTGTTTCCACCTGGAACCTAGGAATCAGGTATTGAGAGTCTGTAGCAAGGTGGCCATGCTGCTCTCTATTTGCAGAGATACTCTTGCATGCATTTATGGATTGCAGAATCGGTCGAATTCAATGCACGAAGAGGACGCTATGTCTGAGATTACTAAGAGTTGCAGGAATCTACTTTCACAAGCAATTATTAAATGGATGCAGATTCCTTTCGGTATTCCAAAGTATTTCTTCAACATAAGGTATTCTCTTAGTGCTAAGTAATAAATATTTCACCAAACAAACTCTTATCAATAAAATGTAGTGTCCATTGTCTTGATCACCAAATTATTACTGATGGAAGTAATGAAAGGTGTGAACATACACATCGATTTGAACTTGTCTTTTTGCTGCTTAGTGAATTAAGGAATTATGAATTTTTTTTCTGCTGTATCTCCTCGGTCTAATAAGTTTTCAATTGATTTAAATTTCAGGCCATGTGTTGGTGCCGAGCTATTTGCTCTTAGTTCAGTCAGCTGCAAGAATGCTCCTGATACAATTTCAGTGGAACAAGGGTTTCAACTGTCGCTGGATCTTTGTCTTCAGTTGACAAACATGCAACAACCGAGAGTCCCTCTTCGACTAACCAAACTGTATTGTCTCCTCTATTCTAAACTAGCTTATCACACCCCGACTCAACACGGTGAAACCAAGAGAAACCACAAGGCTTATTCCCCTTGGAGAGATGAAGATCTAGTAGAAATGAGTAACAAGCTGTTTCATCATGCTGTTACAACGTCTGGTAAGAAGCCGGAAACTTCAGGTCGATTTGATTGGAATCGGAACAACAATGGTGTTTCTGCGGTTGTGCAGTTGGAACCAAATGAGAGAGGACAAGGGTTTTCGAGCTGCTTGCTAGACGTTTCGCGTTTCCCAGTTGGTTCATATCAAATTAAATGGCTAAGCTGTTGCATTGATCAACATGGTTCTTACTGGAATCTTCTACCTCTTAATGGCAGACCTGTGTTTACCGTTAAGAAAGGTTCATGACTAGAATCTAATCCTAGTTTTGATATGGAGAAAGATTCAAGTGTTAGGATCTAGTTTGGGAACAAGCCAGAAAAGAGACAGAGATAAGGTTGATTTATAAGCTTAAGACTGATCTCGAGATTTGCAGCTGCGGTGTGAGCTTTAAGTAACCCAGTTGGGATCGATGCCTATGGTCATGCCAAGGTTTTTGGACATGAACCACATAGTTAATGATTTTTGTTCTGAGGATGATACTTCATAAGCTGCACATAAGAGAGATCTACAAGGACACCATAGACTCTGTTATAGTGATATTATTGTATAGGTATTTGCTTTTAATAACGCTATCAATTAGATTTGCGAAGATGTTTACCCGGATGTACCATTTTTGTTGTTGATTATGTTATGTAATTCCATTGTCGACTGATAAATAAGTATGAAGCATAATTTTTTTTTTGCTTAAGGGAATGGCTATTGAGACGTTCTTTTGTTACGGAGACATCACCAAAACATATAGGATGTGAAATTAGAAAGTAAAAACGACGTTCAAGGTCTAAAAGTCTATAAGACGTGAAATAATGGCACCAACACCTTCATAGAGAAAGACTTAAGGGTCAAGTCAGTGCGTACTGGTCCAAAAGCCTATTATTGGACAAGTGATGATAAATTCTTAAGAAGAGGAAAGAGAGTTCCAACCCGAGTGAAGATTATTATTATTATTTTTTTTTATAAAAAGTGATGATTATTTCTTTTTAACAGGAAAGAGAGTTCTTGTGGTCGGTGACAATTGTATACATCTTCAGTTGCAACACTAAAGAAAGCTGAAGAAGATAAGAGTGTCTGAGGTGAAAACAATACGAAAATGGAAAAGAAGATGTGAGAGTTTTCTTAGTAAAATATAATCGTGGGTTGATTGGAGAAATAGGGTTGTTAAAGTGTGATTGGAGAAAATTAGATTAAAAAAAAAAAACTGTTTTGAAATATAGATTTTAAAAATGGGACTTTAGGTTCAGTAACCATATTGAGAACAATGATAAATTCTATGACCATATTAAATCTATGACTATGATATTCTTTGTATAATTTGTATAATATCCAAATTAACCTTATTTAATCTCCTATCCCAAAACAAAACTATACTATTTGAAATATGTTGAATGTGTTTACTATACTATTTTGATTATACAAAATAAATAAATTGGAGAGAGGAAGACGATTGGAGGTTGAAGAAGTGTGGCTGAGAAATGAAGAATATTTCCTTCTTAAACTATACAGAATGTTTGTATATTATACTATATTTTTATATTTTATTCTATTCTATTTTGTATTCTATGAAAAATATATTCTAAATTTTTATATTACAGTTATTTAAATTCTTTTTAATATTTATTAGTTCAATGAAAATCCTTTTATATGGATCTAAAATTATAAATGTACTAGTTTATAACAAAAGAAAGGATGTAAAAAAGTAGTTTAATTTTTTTAACTCATAGGTTAATTCAGAAAAATATTATTCTATATAGATTACGTAACATAGTAAATTTTAAGGTGTGGGTTTTGAGTATAGTTTGTAGTGATTTGGGTTTAGTTTTAATTAATTTGGGTTATTTTATATACGTAATAACTTTGGTTTATGTTCGAAAGTTTGGATATAATAAGTAATGGTTTGGATTTAGTTTTAAATTATGTGAGTTTCTTTTCAGAGGTCTATAGTGGATTAAAAATTACGGTAGATAATGTCATATGGTTTAGGTTGGGGGGTTTGGGTATGGTAAGTAGTGGCTTGGGTTTACTTTTAAGTTATGTGGGTTTATTGTCATGGAACTATAGTTGGTTAAGGTTGAATAAGATTATATGGAATTAATATTTTACAATATAAAATAGTATAGGACGGAAAACAAGATAGTATCGAATATAAAATATTAGTATGTGTGTGTATGTATAAAATAGTATGAGAAATACATTCTATAGTTTTGTATTACAGTTATTTAGATCTTTTTTAATATTTATTAGTTCAATGAAAATCCTTATTATATGGATTCAAAATTATAAATGTACTAGTTTATAACAAATGAAAGGATGTAAAAAGGTAGTTTTATTTTTTTAACTCATAGGTTGATCCAGAAAAATGTTATTCTGTATACAATATTTGTGTGTAGTATAGATTAGGTAACATGATAAATTTTAAGGTGTGGATTGGATATAGTTTGTAGTGACTTGGCTTTAGTTTTAATTAATTTCGGTTAATTTTTATACGTAATAACTTTGGTTTATGTTTGAGGGTTTAGGTATAGTAAGTACTGGTTTGAGTTTAGTTTTAAATTATGTGAGTTTATTTTCATGGGTCTATAGTGGCTTAAAAGTTACGGTATATAACATCATATGGTTTATGTTGGGGGTTTGGGTATAATAAATAGTGGTTTGGGTTTAGTTTTACGTTACGTGGATTTATTGTCATGGATCTATAGTTGATTAAGATTGAATAAAATCATATGGAATTAATATTTTATACTATTTTACAATATAAAATAGTATATGACGGAAAACAAGATAGTATCGAATATAAAATGATATTATATGTGTGTATGTATAAAATAGCATAGATAAAATCATAGATTTAGTTTTAAATTATGTGAGTTTATTTATGAGGGTCTATAGTAGATTAATAATTACGGTATATAACATCATATAGTTTATGTTTGGAGCTTTGATTATAGTAAGTAGTGGCTTGGGTATAGTAAGTTGTGTTTAATTTTAAAATATATGAGTTTATTTTCAAGGGTCACAATTTTTTTCCTATTAACTAGTTTATATTATTTTGTAAGATAAAATACCAAAAGAAATAGTATAGAACAAAATAGTTTGGGGTTTGGGGTGTAGTTTTATCGTTTGAGACTTATATTTTTATAAACTATTTTTTGAAAGATAAGTTTTATAAATACTATTTATGATTTGCAAGATAAAATAGTCTAGAATGAAACAGAAAATAGTATAAATAACGTAAGACTATACTATTTTGGTCTGATAGTTCGTAGGGGTAATTTTGTCATTAAAATATAAGGATTATGATTTTTGGTTATATGTTTAATTCTAAAATGGTTATGGCTATATTCTTTATTTTACTGCCCAATATGTATATTCAGAAAATTGACCCTTTAAAAATTTATTTAAAGTTAATGTTTCTATACATTTTACAGTTTTGCAATCAACCCTATATACTTAGAACCAACTGAATTTTTTTTTAGAGGTCAATGAAGAGAAGATGTGAGAGTTTTCTTAGTAATATAAGATCATGGGTTGATTGGAGAAATAGGGTTGTTAAAGTGTGATTAGAGAAAAATAGATTTAAAAAAAAACTGATTTGAAAATTAGATTTTAAAATTTTATTTAAAATTAATGTTCCTATACATTTTACAGGTTTGCAATCAACCCTATATACTTAGAACCAACTGATTTTTTTTTGTAGAGGTCAATGAAAAGAAGATGTGAGAGTTTTCTTAGTAAAATATGATCATGGGTTGATTGGAGAAATAGGGTTGTTAAAGTGTGATTGGAGAAAATTAGATTTTAAAAAAAACTGATTTGAAAATTAGATTTTAATTTTTTTTTAAATTAATGTTTCTATACATTTTACAGTTTTGCAATCAACCCTATATACTTAGAACCAACTGAATTTTTTTTTAGAGGTTAATGAAAACCAATTTTGAGGAAAGAAACTGAGTTAGTCAAACTAAAACATGCACTGAAATTAATTTCATTTAGTGAGAAATATCAAAGAAACTTAATTAGTTGGCATAGGAAGATTATTGACAAGGACAACCAAAACGGAGAAGGAAAAAAAAAATCAGATTATAAAGAAATGCCATTGTTGATGACAACAACAACAACAAAAATACTATGAAAATAAGTTTTTTTTGAGTGAGTTAAAAAAAGAGGAAGAAGCCAAAACTAAGTTTCGTGTAAGTTGCATTAAGCATTGTTTTGTTCGATTGTGAGGTTTTGTTATGAACATAAAGATCTAGAATTCAGATTTGAGACTAGAAAAAAAATATTAAAATAGATCTGATGAATTGATCAGTGCTAAATTGTTTGCCGTTTGTATCGTTGCCCTGGCACAAACAGTATGGGACTAATGTTCTTTCTGATAAGGTGAAAACTGTTAGTTGGGAGAAACTATCAATGCACATTATTAACTTATGGTTCTACCTTAAATGTTTGTTGGTCTGCATGATTTTTTTATCGTTTTTATGAACTTTATTTTGCTTATGACAGAATCTTCGGGCTCAGTTATTAGTAACTTTTTCCCATTACTAATTTACACAATTTCAAGTTGTAACAAGAAAGAACAAATTTTAATATGGGGAAAACGTTACTGTATGTCATTACCGTTGAGATTTGGTTTGCATTTAATTAACTTCGTGTAACCTACTTACTTTGCATCCATTTTTTATGTTTTGATTGCAAATTAACTATCTCTAATTGACCTTTAGATACATATAAATAGGTAGATTTGGGGACCTAATTGTTTTACCACCTAACATGACTCTAGACTGAATTTCCAGTTTTGCTATGAGAATAAAAGGCCAATTTCAGATTTCTGGTGAGTTCATGTTGCATTTCTTTAACAAAATTAATATGTCACTGCATAAAGTTCTCTGATTATTTGTTCAGTATGAAGCCTTTTTCAGTTTCGAAGAGAGAAACCTTCTTTTCTTTTTAAAAGTACATTTATATAAACTCATTTTTTCTGTCTTTGTAGATACATTACACATTCATTCTCATTTCTCTGTATATAAATTTATTTTAATTCATCTTTTAATGAAAGTGGTTTTCTTTTCTTTCTTGTATCTTTGTTTTCTATAGCGTACCTAATTATTCGATTTGCATTATCCATCCTTATTATTTATTTTTTTGCTTATGTAGTGATAGAAAATACATTATTAATCGTTCGTTCGTCTCTGTTTCACATCCTCAGGCCTCAAATACAACCCCATCGGAATCCCAAAACAGTATTTGGGATTTGAACAATAGAAACCTCACAATCAAAATAAATTAGAGGTAACGATTACTGATTTTCATTACTTCTTATGTTACAATCAATTTCTGATATTTTATTAGAGGGAAGAAAGTATTGTTCTTGTGTTAACCATTGCCATTATTATAGTTTTCTTTTTTCATAAGAATGTGCGAATGCAGATGCCCAATACCCAAAAAATATCTTGTTTCATCCTCCATAGCACACATTTCATTTATATATATGATGATATACTTAATTTTTTTGGACCAAAATATGATGATATGCTTAATACATTTTTAACACTTATTTATTTTTCTTATGATTTTATACTTCTCTTAAGCAAATTCAGAAAGCATAATGAAAAAAAAAAAAAAAAAAAAAGAGAAAGAGGATATGAATATATAGATCTTTAGTTGGAAGAAGAAATCAAAGAAAGAGGAAAAATCTCTACCAAAAACCTATCCACCACTCAAACCTCCCCAACCAAAACCCCATGAGTTGGTTTACCCTTTTACATAAAAAATAATCTGATCTCACAATGCATGAATCTATACCTTTATACACTTTTGTGGATCTTTCTCCATTTTCCGCAAACTAACAAGCATATCTATCTCTTACTTCTCCCTATTAAAAAAACAAATCAAATCACGTAAAATGTCATAAAAAAAGTATTGATATATATTTCAAAGAGGGCTGGTTTCACAGTAAGTCATATGATCAAATATAGTGTTCAGAAAAAAAGTATTACGTCAAGCGTTTCGTGATTATGAAACAAATAAAACAGTATTGCGTAAACCGGTAGAAAAATAGAAAGGAAAAAAAGGGGATCAAAATTGCAAAAGGGTGCAAAATGTGTGACTCCCAATAGAAAAGACAAAAGTTTGTATAATGTTTTATTGGTAACCTTAGTTAGGCCTTTCTCTTTCCATGTGCTAACAACATACATATATATATATAAATGTCTCGCAAAGCATTACCTTCAGCCATTCTCTTCTTTGGCTCATTGGATTATTATAGGAAGAAACCATGGAGATAAGGAAAACTCAAGTGGCCATGGCGACTTTGTTGGCGATAATGGCTCTAATGGCGAGTCAAGTGGTCTTCGCCGGCAAATACTCAGACTCAATGGCCCTTCATGAACGTAATATGGCGGAAATGCAAGCCCTTAAAGCTTCATTGGTTCGCAGAAATCTACCAGCTATGGTATCTCCTCCTCCTACTCCTCCTCAGGTATATATACTAAAACATTCTCTATCGTTTTGGTCATATATTTAGTTAGATGCAATTATACATGATATATATGATGATGATGCATATATATGGTCGTAGGCAGTACCCGGTCCACGCGTGTATCAAGTGATATCATATGGTGCCGATCCCACAGGGAAATCAGATAGCACGGATGCGATTTTGAAAGCTATGGCAGATGCGTTCGAAGGTCCAAATCATGGAATTTTGATGGAAGGTATAAATGATCTTGGAGGAGCAAGAATCGATCTTGAAGGTGGAATCTACTTAATCAGCCGTCCTCTCCGGTTTCCCTCAGCCGGTGGCGGAAATCTCCTCGTAAGTATCTCTTACTTTTTTTTTTTCAGTTTTTGTCAAACTATATATCAAATCTATTGAATGCAACTTCTAACAAGTAGAGTTAGATTTCTTTCGTACGTGGGAGTTAATATATCGACAAAGTTCATGTTCATCTATGTGACGTGATATGACACTGCTGCATTCATATGTTAATAAATATTTAAAACATGAAATTCTCAACAGAACCTTAGCTTAAACGTAATCTTGATTATAGATGCTCTTATGTTTGGTGTACCAAACGAAATATAATTAAATGATCATTATTTTTCTTTCACGAGAATAGAATGATTCCTTTCTTTCTATGCATGTTTCTCTCATAATTTCAAACATTATTATGACCTTTTTTATATCCCCTAACAAAAGAAATACATTTCTGTTTATTTTTTTTATTATTTTTAGAATTTCCTTCCTTTTTTCGTATTCCTTTACTTCCTTATTTTAGAATATTGCGTATTCTGCATTCATATGATTCTGCTTTTTTTTTCGTTGGTTTAAAATGTTAAGAAAGTCGTAGCTTTTCAAAATGGCGGAAAAACCGAGTAATGACAATACTCGGAAAATCCACTTATTCAAACATTATCTTTATCACATGTTTTCGTTGCACCTATATTTTTGTTCGGTTTTGAAAATAATGTAATATACTGATTGTTTAATTTTCTTGACTTGTGGGACACGTCTAGATCAGCGGAGGGACATTAAGGGCATCAGATGATTTTCCGGTCGATAAGTACTTAATCGAACTCAACGACGAATCGTCAAAGCTACAATACATATTTGAGTACATAACCCTCAGAGATCTTCTCATCGACTGCAACTACCGCGGCGGAGCAATCGCCGTCATAAATTCTCTCCGGACAAGCATTGACAACTGTTACATCACACGTTTCGGAGACACGAACGGGATTCTTGTCCAAAAAGGACACGAGACTTATATTCGCAACTCGTTTCTTGGTCAACACATAACCGCCGGTGGAGACAGAGGAGAGAGAAACTTCTCCGGCACCGCCGTGAATTTGGTGGGTAACGACAACGCCATTACCGACACCGTTATATTCTCCGCCGCGATTGGGGTAATGATATCAGGACAGGCAAACTTATTGTCTGGTGTGCATTGTTATAACAAGGCAACCGGTTTTGGAGGAACCGGGATTTATTTGAAATTACCCGGTTTAACTCAGAACCGAATTGTGAATTCGTACATGGATTATACCGGTATCGTCGCGGAAGACCCGGTTCAGCTACAAATTTCAGGGACTTTTTTCTTGGGCGATGCGTTTATTTTGTTGAAATCGATAGCCGGTGTGGTTAGAGGAGTTAATATTGTCGACAATATGTTTTCCGGTTCGGGTAATGGGGTCCAGATTGTGCAATTAGATCAGACGAATAAGGCGTTTGGAGACGTTGACCAGGTGGTCGTTGACCGGAACAGTGTGAATGGAATGGCAACGAGATCGACGGTTGCGAAAGGATCGGTCGATGGAAACGGGACGTCTTGGACCGTCGATTTGAACCCGGTTTTGTTGTTCCCGAATTTAATTAAGCACGTGCAGTACACGCTCGTGGCCAGTGAAGCTAACGCGTTTCCTGTTCACGCGCTAAGGAACGTTTCGGACAATAGAGTGGTGGTTGAGACAAACGCTCCTGTTACAGCAAAAGTTTATGTAACAGCGGATCAGTGAATTTGAACATCGTGATTTTGCCGTAATAATGATTTAATAATCATAAGATTATAATGGTGGGTTTTTGGTAATTTTTTCTGATCAGGAGAAATTACATATATTTTTACTAGTAAAGAAAACAAAAACTCGAAAATTGTGATTATGGTTGAAGAGTTGGTGGCATGACATTGACTAGTTTTTTTTTTCTGTTTGTCAAGACATTTTTTTTTTTGGGGGTAAAATGTTAAGTTGTTTGTCAAGACATTTACTAGTTCCTCTGAGATGAATCATGAAATTCAATGCAATGACTAATAAACTAACTATTATGACTTCTGAAGTTATGTTTTAGTCCAATATAATCCGCTCCATTTTTCTTTGCATTAGAATCAAATAAAGCAACCTATGTAATTAATTTTCTATAAAGTCGGCAACTCAAGAATAAAACACCATCAAAGGAGAAGTCGAGGCTCTGCTTCTCTTTATCTAGGTGTTGTCCATAAATTAAATTAGCTAATTATATTCTCATTCTCAATCTCCATTCTCAACAAGTCTTCACATACAATCCTGCAAGTTTTTTGTTAAAAAAAAAAACACGTTAAATACTTTATGAAGAAAGAAAGTGGGTGAAAATAAAAGTATTACTTTTTCTAATTTCTTATAAGTGATGTACTCCATTTTGGAAGAAAGCAAGCTTTATGACGAATAAAGTCTTAAGATGGGTTGTAAACAAAGTCTAATAATGATCTTATTTTTTCATAAAATCATAAATGCTGCAGAAATGAGCAGAACATGAAATCTGGCATCATAAATTTGCAGAGTCAGAAAATTAAATTGAAAGTTGATTGATTCAAAAGAAAAAAACGTAACAATTAGAATGATGGAACAATAAACAGAAATCGTGAAAACAAACCAATTAGAAATTTAAAATAACATTATTGTTATTGGGACAGTTATTAATCAAAATTTCATAACTTTTATGAAATTTCACCGTGCTAGTCATTTTGTCTACGAACGTGCTTTGATCTTTCTTTTTCGAGTCTTTTTGTATTTCGTCATAAATAAAGCAACACCTAAAGTGTTTCTGTTTAATAAATCGGAATTCGAGTCGGTACATTGGAATAATAAAGCAAAAATTAACAACATAAATTATGCCCTTTAATAAACACACACGCTCGTATCTGTCTCACTGCCTGTATCTTCTTTATAATCACTCCTCATAGTTTTCTCTCCTTCACTCTCTCTCTCTCTCTCTAGAAGAATAAGAAGAAGAAAACAAAAATCAAGAAAAACCAAATGAGTCTCTATTACTTTATTTGCTTGTTACTCTTTGTCATCACTTTTACAGTTGAATTTGATGTGACATTGTCGTTGAGAAGAGACAAGACAAAGCTTCTTGAATTCCAAGAGAAGATCCATGAAAGACTCGCGATCACTCCCACTCTCCCACCAATCTCTTCTCCTTCTTCTCACTCTTCCAAAATGGTAAGTCTCTTCTATTTAGCTTCTACTTCTACATGTACATATGTATACGCACGTGTGCGTAATTTGCGAGCGTGTGAGTTTGGTTTGTGCAGGTGGGGAGAGTGATATACCCGATTAATTACGGAGCTGACCCAACAGGTGGACAAGACAGTAGTGACGCAATACTCGAAGCTTTAACCGATGCTTTTCAGTTACAAACTGGGCTTCAGATGCTGCCACGTGTCGCCGATCTAGGAGGTCTTATTATTGATCTTCAAGGTGGCAGTTACAAGATCGGAAAACCTCTCAGGTTCCCTTCCTCCGGTGGCGGAAATCTCGTGGTTAGTCCTTCAGATTAAACTCAGGTGAAAAAGTTTGAATCTTTACCCATTTCGTCGGTTTAATTCAGGTAAAAGGAGGGACTTTCCGAGCATCGGAAGTGTTTCCCGGTGATCGGCATTTGGTCGAGCTCGTACCATCGAACTCCGTGAAACAAACGGAAATCTCGCCGGAGGATTCTTTCTCCGATCAGAAAGACCAGGACTCCGGGATCGTCTACGAAGACGTGACCTTCCAAGGCGTGCTCTTCGACTCAAGCTTCAGAGGAGGGGGTATATTGGTAATTGACTCAGCTCGTATCCGTATAACCAATTGCTACTTCCTTCATTTCACAACACAGGGGATTAAAGTCCAAGGAGGTCACGAAACATACATTTCAAACTCCTTCTTGGGTCAACATTCAACGGTAGGCGGAGACAAACAAGAAAGAGAATTCTCCGGGACAGGAATCGACATCTCGAGCAACGACAACGCCATAACCGACGTCGTGATTTTCTCGGCGGGAATCGGTATCTCGTTGAGCGGTGGTGCGAACATGGTCACGGGAGTGCATTGCTATAACAAAGCTACATGGTTCGGTGGAATCGGCATCTTAGTGAAATCTCATTTAACGAGGATAGACAACTGTTACCTTGATTACACAGGTATAGTCATTGAAGATCCTGTTCACGTTCATGTCACAAACGCTCTCTTCTTGGGAGATGCGAACATCGTGTTGAGATCGGTACACGGGAAGATCTCAGGGGTGAACATCGTCAATAACATGTTTAGTGGGACTCCTAAAAACAATTTCCCGATCGTGAAGCTAGAAGGAGAGTTTCACGAGATTGATCAAGTTGTGATTGATCAGAACAATGCGGAAGGGATGATGTTGAAATCAACGACCGGGAAAGTGAAGGTTTCAGCGAATGGGACGAGATGGGTCGCTGATTTTGGCCCGGTTTTGGTATTCCCAAACCGGATAAACCATTACCAGCATTCGTTTTTGGCTCAATCAGGGGAGATTCCTGCGAATGCAGTGACTAATGTTTCAAACAATGTGGTAGTTGTAGAGACCGATAGGGCTGTAACTGGAACCGTGTCAGTCATTGTATATCAGTAGAAATAACATTCTTCATATTGATCATTGTCCGAATGTGTTTTCGTTGATTTCAAGACATACAAAATGTAAACCTGTTTGATCTATTTAAGCTTGAGATCGTCACTTCAAGGCCTCGACATATATATAATGCTGCATGTTCTTCTAAGCATAAGAAAAACGTGGGTTGAAATAAAAGTATACTGTTCTTATAAATGATGCATCGTTTTGGAAAACTTCAAACTTCATGACAAATGAACCTTAAACTAATCATAGTGTAGATAATAAACTATTAACGCCAGAGAGGCACAACAGAGGTTGAGAGAACGACGTGCAAATAATGCGCTCGTCTAACAAAATTTAATAACAGACATCGTTCTCTGACTTCTCTCTGCCTGCGTCTTCTTTATAATCAATCTCTCTCTCTCTCTCTCTCTCTCTCTCTCAAGAAGAAGACAGAAATCAAGAAAGACAAAATGAGACTCCGTTGCTTGGTTTGCTTGTTACTGTTTCTCCTAACAATGTCAATGGAGTTTGAAGAGACATTATCCTTCAGAAGAAGAGATATGACAAAGCTTTCAGAATACCAAGACAAGATCCAAGAAAGACTCATGATCACTCCCACTCTCCCACCATTGTCTTCTCCTTCTTCGCACTATCCCAAAATCGTAAGCTTCTACAAAATAGTATATGTACATGTTATACGCAAACGTGTATAATTTGTGAGCGTGTGAGATTCGTTTTGTGCAGGTGGGGAAGGTGATATACCCGATTGGTTACGGAGCTGATCCGACAGGTAGACAAGACAGTAGTGACGCAATACTAGAAGCTTTAACCGATGCTTTTCAGTTGCGGACCGGGCTTCACATGATGCCACGTGTAGCCGATCTAGGAGGTCTAGTTATTGATCTCCAAGGTGGCAGTTACAAGATCGGAAAACCTCTCAGGTTCCCTTCCTCCGGCGGAGGAAATCTCGTGGTTAGTGACCCTTTACTTAAAATTTTTACAACAAAGTTTGACTTTTAAAACTCATCTTTCTTTTTGCTCAAGGAACTTGCAAAAGTTTGAATCTTTACCCATTGGTTTGTGGTGAAACTCAGGTAAAAGGCGGGACTTTCAGGGCATCGAACGTGTTTCCAGGTAACAGACATTTGGTCGAACTCGTACCACCAAACTCTGGGATCTTCTTTGAGGATGTGACCTTTCGAGACATTCTATTCGACTCGAGCTTCCGAGGAGGAGGTATTTTGGCAATCGACTCAGCTCGTATACGTATAACCGATTGCTACTTCCTCCATTTCACAACACAGGGGATTAACGTCAAGGGAGGTCACGAGACATATATTTCAAACACCTTCTTGGGGCAACATTCAACTGTAGGAGGAGACCAGCAAGAAAAAGAGTTTTCCGGGACAGGAATCGACATCTCCAGTACCGATAACGCCATAACAGACGTAGTGATTTTCTCGGCTAGGATCGGTATCTCTTTGAGTGGCGAGGCGAACATGGTCACGGGGGTGCATTGCTACAATAAAGCCACATGGTTTGGTGGAATCGGCATTCTAGTGAAATCGCGTTTAACGAGGATAGACAACTGTTACCTTGATTACACAGGTATAGTCATCGAAGACCCTGTTCACGTTCATGTCACAAACTCTCTCTTCATAGGAGATGCTAACATCGTCCTGAGATCAGCACGCGGGAAGGTCTCCGGGCTAAACATCGTCAACAACATGTTTAGCAGTACCTCGGGGAAAAATTTCCCGATCGTCAAGGTGAAAGGAAAGTTTCACGAGGTTGATCAAGTTGTGATTGATCAGAACAATGCATCAGGGATGAGGCTGAAATCAACAACCGGGAAGTCAAAGGTTTCTTCCGCAAACGGGACAAGATGGGTCGCTGACTTTAACCATGCCTTGGTATTCCCAAACCGGATAAACCATTACCAGCATTCGTTTTTGGCTCAATCCGGACAGATTCCTGCGAATGCAGTGACCAAGGTTTCAAACAATGTGGTAGTTGTAGAAACCGATAGAGCTGTAACTGGAACCGTATCAGTCATTGTCTATCAGTAGAAATAACATACTTCGTATTGATCACTGTGCTAATGAGAAAACATTGGTTTTTGACTCAATAATCATACATATAAATGATCTGCTCTATGCAAGTTCAGTTGCAGTTTGGTGAAACAACTAATACCAGCAATCAGCGACCTCGTTATTGGCTGCTTCTTCTTGCACCTGGAGCTTCTCCGGGGGACCAGAAGTCCTCGGATGCTGTTGGAAATCATGCTTCCCCGGCTTCGCAATGTCTATGTAAATCATCCTGCCATTGTACATCTGCAAACAGGATGGGGAGGAACATTTTGGTTGATTTCGATACATAAAGATGTAAACTTATTTAATCAAATTAAGCTTGTGTTGAAAAAGAAGCTTTTTTTTACCCTACGGTCCATGGTCTCTAGGGCAAGAAATGCATCGTCTTGAGACGTGAATTGAATAAAGGCATAACCTTTTGATCTCTTCATTGACTCATCTTTGATAAGCTTAACTGTTTTGAAAGATAAGAGTTGTGAAGTTAACCTTAAATCCAAAGTTGGATTAAGCACAAGAAGAAACAGAGTAAATGCAAACACACCTTCAGCTATCTCGCCAAAAGCTGAAAACTCCCTCTGCAGAAAATCTTCACTTGTAGAAAACGGTAAATCTGCAGATTCAAAGCGAAGAAACATCACAAATATAAATAAATCACTGAATTAAAGTTACAAGAACCTTCAATTTCACGATAATTGTTAAGTTCCAGCACAAGAACTGATCTCAAAATCCTCTGCTTATCCGTTAATTTTTCCCCGTTCTACATCAGATTTGAATCGGAAATTTCTTAACAGAACCATCTCTGAGTCTTAGGAGAAGCGAATTAGAATCTAAACTGAAGGATAGTCCACGAATAATAGTGAAAGGCAGAAACTTACTTCTGACCATGATTTTGCTAGCGAGAGGGTAACTAGCGAGCGAAGCTTGGATCTTCGGAAATCTAGGGTTCCTGAAACTTTGAAGAGAAGATGAAGTAGTAGCCACAAAGGAAGGGAGAGAGAGCGTCGCCGACCACATGGTTTCACGGTCGCCGGAGAGAGGGATACAGAGAAGAAACAATCGTGAAGATAGGGACCGTTGTTAAAGACTTTCAAAAAACGACAGCGTTTAAAAGCTCTTTTTATTCGCGCTTAAAGCCCACTAAGGCCTAAGTTTTTGGGCTTGCCATATAAGAAATAAAAACATGGGTGTATCTGATAAAATTCGGAACTTGATATGATAATTTAAAAGATTTGAAAAAGATGAGCTTAAAAGGGAATTGCTATTTATTTATATATTGTAAAAGCTCACAAAAGCCCTAATTTCGTCACTCTGAGCTTCCAGAAAATCCCGAAGAGTCTCTTCAGCATTTCTCTCTCTCTCTCTCTCCGGCAGCGATGGCTATGTTCTCTCACCGTCTCCGACGAGCGTTACTCACTGCAACTTCATCTTTAAACCGACCAATCTCTCTCTCCCCAGCTACCCTTGCCCCACCCGCCGATTTCCCTTCTGTATCGACGGTGCTACAGAGATCCGTTTTAGGGCGTTTCACGGGAGCTACTCGAGCTCCGGCGAGGCTGTTTTCTACGAAGCAGTACAAACTTTACAAAGAAGGCGATGAAATCACAGAAGACACTGTGCTGTTCGAAGGATGTGATTATAATCACTGGCTCATCACCATGGATTTCCCCAAGGATAATCCTCTGTCCCCTGAGGAAATGGTCTCTACCTACGAGCAAACTTGCGCCAAAGGGCTTGGCATCAGGTCGTTATTCATCTCTCTTCTACGGAGTTTCAAAGTTTGTGTCTTTGAAATTTCATTGATGGCTATGTTCTCATTTCATCAATTTGTATGTGTCTGCTTTCTTTGTTTTTTTTTATCATTTACAATATTGAATTATAAGTGGAACAGATTAGATTTCTGTCTCTGCAGAAATTTAGGTTGTGAGATTCTGATTTCGTTGAAAATGAGTTTTTTTTTAAGCAATGCTTTTGATTCAATTTTGGACATCTTGTTTTGGCATTTGTACTGACTATTATTGGTGTTTATCGTTGAGCCACAGCTTGGAAGAGGCGAAGCAGAAGATCTATGCTTGTAGCACAACCACTTACCAAGGCTTTCAGGCAATTATGACTGAACAAGAATCAGAAAAGTTCAAGGGTATAGATCTCAAATAACTCATATTATAATCCTTTAGAAGACACTATTTGACTAGTAAATTGAATGTCTCCTCACTTCTTCTATATGTACACAGATCTACCAGGAGTGGTGTTTATATTGCCAGATTCCTACATTGATCCCCAGAACAAAGAGTATGGAGGTAAGCTGGAGTTTTCTTTATTTTTCCAAATTCGTCTCATTTTGATTCTTGAACTCTACAAAAAGATTTCTGCTTTCTTGTTTTTTAGGAGATAAATACGAGAACGGAGTGATCACACACAGGCCACCACCAATTCAGCATAACAGAAGACCCCGTGATAGGTTCAATTCAAGATTTGACCGTCAAGGAGGAGGAGGAGGAGGCGGTCCTCAAAACTTCCAAAGGAGCCCACAGTATGGTCAGCAACCGCCAATGCAAGGTGGTGGAGGTGGCTACGGTGGTCCTCAGCAGAGCTATGGTCCTCCAGGACAAGGAACTCAAGCTCCTCCTCCTCCTCCACCGTTTCAGGGAGGTTACAACCAAGGGCCTCCGGGATCTCCACCACCTCCATACCAGGGAGGTTACAATCAAGGCCAGGGAGCTCAGGCGCCTCCTCCATACCAAGGCGGGCCCGGGAACTATAGCCAAGGGCCACAAGGAGGTTACAACCAAGGAGGGCCTAGGAATTACAGTCCGCAGGGGAATGGAAACTACGGTCCTGCACCGGGAGCTGGAAATCCCGGATATGGTCAGGGATATTCTGGAGCTGGACAAGTGCAGAATCAGACGCTTCCACAGGCAGAACAGAGGAACCAAGGCTGGAACAACAATAATCCTGCAGACCAACCAGGATCTGACCAAGTAAGTGCTTGACCATGAATGATGAATCTTACATTCATGCACTCTGTTTTCCACGTACTTGTTACTGAGATGGGTCTTTGTTTCAGTTTCCACAGGGAAGAAGATACTAGACAGAGAGATAATGCATGCTGCTGTGAACTGAGCTGAATAAGGAGAGAAGTATTAAATGTCTTTTTTTTTTTTTTTAATTAAGTTTTAGAGTACATATTTTGTTAGACATGTTTCTTCTTTAAAAGACGAGAACTATCCCCTTTTCTCCCAAGTTAAGCTTGTTGAACGTTGTCGGTTGCATCTACTTGAAACACTCTTGAAAAATGTTATTTTATGATCCAATCTACCTATTTTACTAGAGATTTTGGTACCATATCCTCTTTGAGAGATACTTTGTATTGAGTCTATTAAACGAAGATCAAAAGTAAACTTAAGACGAGTAAATTAGATAGAAATGATTAATATTGCAAAACACTTGGAGCTCTTTACATGGAGATAAGGTTTCTATTCAGACTACGAGACAGTAACTTCTTGTCTCTTCTTGACTGGTGGTGGCAGTTTTGGTAAAACCCAAGTAGGAGACTCATTTAGCCACAGTGCTTCACCTGTCTCCTTGTGCTTGAAGTCTGGGGCTTTGGCATTTCTCTACACCCAAACGAAAACGATGTTGTGGCAACAATTAATTTCTTCAAAAGATTAATTAAAAGAGCTGACCAAACGATTTACTACCTTGTCAATTCTATTGTCCCACCATTTATCCGGATTTTGAACCAAGTCTCTCCATGATTCTTCTCCTACACCATCTCAAACCAGATTTTGGTTTATAAGAACATACATGAACATATGCGCGACATACATAACTGATTCTTTGTGCAGCTTCATATGAACATGGAAAACAAAGGGAACTTTACCTTTAAGTTGTTTCACTATTCTGGCTTTTGGGACAAGAACATCAATCTCGAGTCCTTCGAGTTTTGGCAAAACCCAGTCAGGAGCCTTATTGAGCCACAATGAGATACTGCTGTCCTTGTTTTTGAAATCAGGATGTCTTGGTTTCACCTATGCGGGAAAGACCGAGAAGTCAAATACTAGTAGAGAAAACTTAGCTCACACTATATCAAAAATAACGCGAGTAAGAATGAAGATGAAATGTTAAGCACATAGAAGAATTTACCAATCCGTTGGCTTTATTTTCGCGGTGATCCCACCATTTTTTGGGGTTTTCAATTAGGTGATTCCAAGAATCAAAAGCTTCATCCATGACTATATCCTTCTTAACTCTAGCTACAGAGTCAAAAAATTTAACAAACAATTAGCCAGAGAGCTGAAAAAATGTCATGCCAGAGAGACTTCACAAGAAAAAACACATTTTTTTATTTATGAAACTCATTACAAGAGATCATTAACTAGCTCCCTAAAAGCCTTGCTCAGATCTAACACAGGTGCCAGTTGAAAGCAACAACACACATCATGAAACTTAAGAGGAAAAAAATGAGTTTTGTTCAAAGAAATATAATATGACACATACCAGGCAGCTTCTTGACGCCACTTTCTTCCGTCTCAGATAATGATGTAACCATAGGCGGAGAAGCAGGCTGTACAAAATCAAGACTCTGTACCAGCACCTGATGTGAGCAAACCATAATTAGGTCACAATTACTATTTATACAGATTCAAGGAGAAAACCAAAACATATGAAAGAGATAATGAACCAACACAAGTTACAACAAGCTTCTCATGCCTTTCAAACATTTCCATCTAACGAAATCTTAACAAGTAGTGTTTAAGGCTCACACCTGGACATTGGATTGAGCATAAGTCATATTTGGAGGAGGGGAATCAATAAACAGCTTCCCGGAGACATGAATACGATCGTCTTTGTTTATATATCGTGCTGCGGTTTTAGCTAGATCACCTTCAAATATGATCGGAATCCTGACAAGCAAATCCAAAACCGTTTTTTTAAAAAAAAATCAATCACATACAGAGTTACAAAACTTCTTCATCTTCGAGCTTATCTTAGATTATTGGGGAAATTCATAATAATAATAATAATAATCACATCTCAAGCATTATGTTTTATAAATCATAGTAAATGATAAATCAGTAAGTTAAAAATGGAGAAAGAAGAAGAAGAAGTACCAGAAAGCAGAGGAATCTGAACCGGACCTCTGGGAAATAACAGTGCCGGCCCAGAATTTGCCGTCCGAAGAAGCCTCGAATTGGACAGGTTGATCAACAAACCCAATCAGATTGACCCAATTCGCCATTTTAGTCTGGTAAGCTATCTCATCTGGCCGAGCAAGTTCGTTCTCTTTCTTCGCCGTAACTGGCGCCACCACATCCGGCGCTTTCGCCGGTGCTATGGCTCTTTGTTTCCTTCCGCCAGTGCCGGATTTACCGGCGACAGCCGCAGTGTAGAAACGGAGTTGCTGAGAGCTAATTCGTTTTCCGGTAGGAATTTCTGTAGTTCTAGGATGGAAAAATGGCGAAACTTCGATTCTTGTCAAGGATTTGGAAATCAAGTTCATCTTCTCATAACAACGAGAGACAATCCGGTTTCTCGAATCAACGAAGAAATTCGAATTTGAAAGACGGAATCGCTAGACTAAAGAGAGACCCTAATTTGTGTCAAAGGGTTTAAGGAAAACAAATTGAAGAAGAAAAGGGGGAAATTGACGATAGGGGAATTAGGGGTGGATAATGATTACTGTCGTTTAGTTGGCGCGGGGGTTTATGTCTTAACTATTCGGTTTACAGATTTTCTATGGGCCTTAAACGGGCTTATATTGGGCTTATTTGTATATGAATATTCAATGTTTCCTTCTATAGCCCAATTAGTCTCAAAACTCTTCTTTTTTTTTTACACTTTTAGGAGTTTTTTTACAATTATTCTCTATCTTTCTTCTCTGGTTTAAGGTTGAGGCGTGTTGATTAGTTAGTTTATGAATTAGTTAAGTTGCTTATACATCCACGATTATATTACTTTGACTTTTCCTTTCTCTCTCATCTTCATTCTTTATCGAACTATAATTTTTTTTTGAAGGGTAAAAAGTTAAATTATCGAACTAGGTTTTTTTTTTTTTATCATCTGAAATAATATTAAACAACCAAACCAAAAGAAATAAAGGGGTGAGATGCATGATCGAAAACAGGAATGAGAAATCAGCTGGAATACAAACCACTGTCTCAAATCTAGAAATAAAATACAAACTAGAAATACCAAACTAATACAACATATGTTGGAACTGTTTTTCACACTAAGTAAAATAGATTAGTCGAGGACGAAAGTTTGGGGATTTTCTTATTAATTATTTGATCAAAACGACAAGTACAAAGGGGAAGATAAAGACGAAATAGTCGAAAAGTTTAAGTAAAAGAGGGTGGTCCGCTCTCCGAACTCCGGGGAATCGTCAAGCGGGGGACCGTCTGAAGAGAGGAGGAAAAGACGTCTCGCAGAAAAATCGAGCTCGATTCCCGAGAAAGGGTCCTTTTCTCCGAAAAATCTCAGATTGTCTTGTCACATCATGGTACTGATCTATTTATAGCACCTCAATAGCGGTGTTAGTCTTTGGGCCTGCAGGCTATTTGTGAACGGACTGAACTTCTAACTAGAAATGGACCGGGCCTCCCTCTACTCTTGTTGACTTCGGATTGACTTCAGCTAATGAACCTTCTTTGATAATGATCCATTGGTTTGTAAATGGGCTGGGCCAATTAGGTGGCCTCTGAGCCCGGTACCAACAACATAGAAACAAGAAACGAAACGCTCGACAAAAAAAAAGAGAAACAAAAAAAGAAACAAGAAACGAAACAAAGCCGAATGCATAATTATTGAACTAGGTTTAATAGACTTAAAAGTTAAAACTAATATTGCTTATCGAGAAACAATAAGCCCAACGCCATGCACGTAAAACACGTACGTAGATTAGTCGTCATTTCGTAAAGACAAACGTCTCATCTTTCACGCTATAACCGTATTTTTCAAAAACTATAAAGTACGATAAAACGTTTTTGTTTTGTTAGGTGAAACAATTAAACTTTATGATTGTATATTGACTTGGTCGTTTTTTTTTTGTAACTTACTTGGTCGTTGTTTTACTTTCTTTTCTCCTTTTTGTCTGTGTGTGTGTTAATTGGTTGTTTTGATTGCTGAGGAAGTTAATTGTCCTTACTTATGCTCAAGGGTCACTTTATCGTTTCTTAATTTAACAATTGCTATCATAATATCTTTTTCAGTACATGACGCAAATGTATATTATACGATGTCTGTATATCGACTTGATATACACTAAATATTTCTATTCATTATCCGTATAGGACATTAGCGTATACTTACAACTAATCTATGCATCCTCAACTCGTTGATCGGTTAGAGTTCAGAAAAAAAAAACTCGTTGATCGGGTCAATGAAGAATGAATTAAATTTTAAAATTAGAGGTTTCTTCAAGACTTCGAGTGCAACCATTCTCCAATTTTTTTCTTTTCTTTCATTTCGACGATATGATATATAGTTTTTTTTACTCGTTTGGTGATTACCAAAATCGTTACGCGACCATTGTAAAAAAAAGATGGTTTCAGTTTATTCCGGTTTTTTTTTGTATCGTCGATATATTCACATTAATTCTTTCGAACGAATGAACCATAAGGATCCGGCACGGGGTTTAAGTATGTGACTATGTGACATAGGAGTGGTCATAAACTTTGACCATGAAATAAGATATATGAATATTTCTAAATCAATTAGAAACAAAACTGATGAGTAAAATTTTTGACTGTGGAAATTGTTCAATTGATGATGTTTTTGGCCTCTTCTTTTATTTATTCTCTTTGTCGGCTTCACTGTGGAAATTACAGCATAAATAACTCCCAAATGTTTGTAAATGTTCACCAACGCGTTTTCAGATGAGTATATGACTAAGTCGCCGACATCATCTTACATCTTTACTTGGTTTACTTTTGTTATTCTCTATTACAACTACAGTTCACACATATATATATTATCAGATTATACCTAGGTTATTACACAACAGTAATATAAATAAAAACCATAATATTTTAACAAAAAAAATATATAAATAAAAACCATAATATTTTATAACTTGGTCGTTTAACTATGATTATATGACCCGATACATTTTACTAAGACATTTCCAAGTCTCAAAAACGAGTTTTTTTTTAAATATGTAGGAACGTAAGCACATACGAAAACATATTTTTGTACTTATACTGTTATACAAAATCATTGGAAGACTAAAAATATGGATCAAGAAAGGTCAGAGACATGACTGATTTATTGATTAAAAAAATATGTAATTTGAAAAAGTTGTTTGGAATATGAAAATTGATCTGTTTAGTAAACTATAAGAAATACATCTACTTAACTCTCTTATGTCAATATTTATTTGAAGTGACATATTGAAAATAATAGTTATTTACTTCAAAAACAGAGTTAAGTTATGCGCGTTAAAATCTTAGGTAGACTTGATCAGATCTGATGTATTTCGTTTTGTGCAATGCGATTTTTAAACGCCGATCCAGACCTACAAACTTAAGATCTTTAGGTAGATTTAATTTTTAAGGTCAATCACAATACGAAAAAAAAATTCAATTAAGTTTCAAGTAATTAATTGAATAAAGAGAATTGTACAAAATTTACGGCATCTATTGGAAGCTTGGAACATAAAACAAATGATTTATTCAACACAAATTAATTATTAGAAAAATGCTCAATGGAATTGTAAAGCAATATCCCAAATACTGATTCCCTAAGTGAAATCATCATATAATCATATATGACGATTATCATCATCTTCATAATAATCTAATGACTAAAAACAAGCTATATTATAAATCAAGATCTCTCATCATAAACTCCTCCAACGTTGCCGTCTCTTGGTGAAAATCATGATAATGATAATCCATATAGTCCATACCATCATCATAACTACTATTCCCGGAAGATTCCCTCAACAGATCATGATCATGATCTTGATCAAACACTGAGTTACTTTCCTCACCCAACTGATACGGCGTACCTGACCAAGTCACGTGACGCTGCTCGTTACTCACGTGACGATTAAGCGCATAATCATGATCGTAGTTACTTCGATCGCTGGAGACTGGAAAGATAGCTTCTTTAGAGATTAATGTTGGAGACCCGAAATCCAATGTCACCGGACCTTTCCTCCGGTTGGCTTCACCTCCCGCAGAGCGTCCCGTGAATTTCTGAACTAGGGTTCGGAAATTACTAGGGCTTGCGTTTAGGTGAGTCGTTGGTATGGCTCTCCTGGAAGCCCTAGATCTCTTTCCGGCAACTTCGTGCACCATCGCACCATCTCCGAGGGATGATCCTGATGATGATGTCATATTAATGGCGTTGAAGGACGGAGTAATCTCTTGAACTTGGTGTTGTTCATGGTGTTCTAACCACTGGCCTGCTCTAGAGTTGTTGTTGTTCATCGGATATTTTTGTGTGTTTTTTCTATTTTATTTTAGGTTTTCTTTAGTGTACCATGTATTCATTGCATAGGCTTTAGGATTAAGGTTAACGGTACTTTATATATGTAGAGGATATGTAACTTTTGATGGTCGTAGTAGCCCAACAAAAAGGAGCTATTGATGGTCGTTGACGTTGACTTGTACCTTGAAATTTCTAATATGTTTTGTAGTTTAATAACTCAATAAAATAAATTGGGCAGTGTGTAAATCATTTTGAGTGTTGAGGAAGTATTTGTTGTATAAACTAGTATTTTAATTTCAGTATTTGTATAATGTTCTCTTGAATTAACAACTTATGTCACTATGCCGAGTAAGATGAAGATTCCACTTTTATGATTTGAATACATATGGTTAAATCGCAAGAATGTCCAACCTTTTCATGGATTTTGATTAGTCTCTTTTTCTCGTGGCCTAAAACTACTTAGGTAGTATTAACTAAAACACCCGGGATAAACGAAAATTTAACATTATTTTACTATTTTTGCAGCCCAGATATCAGAAATTAATTTCAGTTATTTATTTTGTTGTCAAAAAGAAGATATCTCTAAAATGATACTGTATAATTATACAATCAATGATATATAATCAATTAGTTAAATGCTTTCGTTCGTATATATTCGATCAGGAGTTTTATCATACTAGCTAATAACCGATATGTATGTTAAATTTCAAAATAACTTTTCATAAGAGCGTTAACTTGTATGTAAACTATTGTAGCTTAAGGTTAACTAATTTCAATATATCTTCATTAATATTAATATTAATTTTTTAGGTGGATGCAGATGGAGTGATAATGAAAATAATATTTTAGGAAGCGACAAATGATGATAACGCCAAGCATGATCTTATAGGAAGACTTGACTTTGGTGATTTCCTGTCTCTTCGGCTATCTCTATCGTTTACTGGTCAATGCATCATTTTATATTTTGTTTTAGAAATGAATAGTTTTCTTACGATTTGGATTTTAAATTTGTATGATGAAAGTAACGTACTCCAATTAGACTCACATTTTACCAAGTCTCTGGTAATTTTTAAATTTCTTTTATCATGTACTATATATAATTTATCTAGGTTAGTTTTTTCTAACAAAAACGAAAGTATTTAGGATAGTTTTATATATTAAATAAAGAAATAACAATCAATTTTTTTTCTAATTCAATAAAAATTATACGTTAAAACCATCTATATGCATTTCCACATTTATTTTGACCAACCTTTAGAATGTATTTAGGATAAGTTGCATATGTAAAAGTTTTTCATTTGGAGAATGTTTTTTTTTTTATCATGAGTAATATAAATTAGCTTTGCTTTATAAACTTTTTGTTAGTGCTGATAATTTTTCTTGATCTACCAGTAATTCATATTTTCACTCTAAATACTTTTTGTTTCAAAATTAAGATAATACACTGAAGCAAACTCAGAAATTTCTCAATTAATAAAAATTGTAATTGGATATATGGTGTGAGCAATGACGGGAAGCTGCTAACGTCGTTACAATTAAATAATATATGGTGTAACTGCGTGAATATAATATTAGCTATATTATTCTCTGTTTCTAATTGATAGATGTTTTAAAGTTTTTATATATATTAAGAAGATTAATTAAAATATGATTATAAATGTATAATTTTTTGTCATGAATATTTTTTAGTATAATTTAAATTATAATCAATTCAATTATTTTTATTTTTTACAATTAATTATTATTAATAAGTTAAAAATATATTAAAAAAATTTAAACATCTATTTGTAAAAAAAAAGTAAAACTTTTGGAACAAAATTAGAAGGAAAGGAGGTATTTAATTATTTTTTTATCGTAGTGTATCTGTATCATTCCAACGTGGCTGTTTTTTATTCTTATTATTTTAAGAAGCTTTACGCATAAGAATTGTCAGTTTTAGTAAAACCCTAAAACTAGAATTAATTGCCGATAACGAGCTGTCACTTGTTCGTCAATTAGGCGGTGGGTTTTATTCGATGAAGCTTCCTTCCGTACTAGTCTTAAAATACAAATTTGATTACTATATTAGTATTACTAAAGATCACTAATAACAATACTGAATTTTTATTGGGTCGTTAATTACTTTAGGTTCGTTGCATGGTTTCCCCATACCAAAGTATGTGAAGTACCCTCAGTATTAAAAATCCAAATTACCATGTCTGAATATTCGAAATTTTTACATATTTGATTTAATTAACTCTAATACCAAAAAAATAAAAGTAAAAAAAAAATCAGAATTTATAGATTAATTTGGATTGGTCTTTAATGTATTAAACTAAAAAAAATCCAAATTAATCTCTAAATTCTAATTTTTATACAAAAAAACTAAGCGAATATTCAATTTTTAGGCAGGCTTTATAAAAACCATGAATACTTTTGATTTCATGACTAATAGGTACCCAAAGACACGACTCATGATGAATTTCGAGTATGAAAAAAAAAATGTCAACACACACAAAAGCTATAGATACAACCAATAGAACATATCCTGCAGAGTCAATAGTGAGTTGGTCAAACTTCTTGACCAGAAACCACAATTCTCAGTTATCATGGATGATCGAGGAACTGTGATCAAGTCGTTGACATATGACTTAAATATATCTTTTTTCCTAGGAAAATCTCTAAGATCATTCATTTGAATTCAAACATGTTTAATTTATATAGCTTCTAGAAATTTTCATCTACTCCATCTTTGTTTTTAAACAGCAAAAATGTTAGCATGAGTTTTACTTCAATATGATTAGCCCCATTTACTTGTCTAACAAAACTATGGCGTCAATATGTTTTAACACAACTTTCATGTTTTGCGTTTATATTGAAATTAGGAAAAACTATTATATTTTCATGATTCAAGATTTGGAAAAAAACATTTCCAGATTTTTACTAAGCATTATTAGAAATAGCTAAATGTTAAATTTGAAATTTGAAAATTTGTGGATTTTATAAGGAAAACTATACAATAATACTCATCAGTATTACTTGTAACAATCAGTATTCCAACCTTGGAAGATATCTGACCAAAAACTCGAAATGTCTTGGTATATCTCAAGTTTTTTTTTTAACTTAAGAAAATGTAAACGAAAAATAACTGGTTGACCATTTTACATGAAACGACACAAGTGGAACTCTTTTACGAATCGAGGCGTAAAAAATTTTGTATTTACACAACCCTCAAGATCCACCACATGGTTACATGATCAGAAAAAATTAACTAATAAAAAAAAAGTTAACTTTCTTTGAACAAAAGGAGGCTCGTACGTCTGCTTTCACTTGCTAGTAATATACTCCTCAGTGATTCTTGGAAGAGAGTGGCATCCATTTCCGCATCACGAGGAAGAAAATGCTTGCAGCTAAATAGCTAACGGGATCGATACAACGTTATATGCTATGTCGGAAACGTAATTTAATCCGCAGCTTCTGTGGCTACAATCATCGTCCCCACATCCGCAAGGGACAAAGTGGGAGAGCCGTTCGATTCTGTCTCTCATCATATAGCTACTTTGCTTTCGTGCTTTGGCAACGAACATGTAACTTCCACTTTTACAAAAAAAGAAAAGTGATCTGCAACATTGCATAATTAAGTGTGATATGATACATTTGCGGAATCTATAACATACTTATAACACAAAATTATAAATATTTTATTAAGTTAATAGTTTTAATTTTGGTTAACTTTTTTGATCAAATTAAATGTATATGGAATGTTTCAGTGGCTTGAAGAAAGACATGATAGCGCAGATCCAAAGATGCCTAAAATTTCATATAGAAAGATGGTATGTTAGGATGTTATCTCAAGGAAGAACATGCACGGCTTAATAGTTTGCAGCTCAAGAAACCTAGATGAAATATGCCACACCAATTGGTCGGGATGAGAGTAAATGAGTAGTTATGTTAAGATAAGCTTATTATGGACTTTTACCTCAAAAATGATTGACAATAAGTAGATTATCCATGTCTCCTCAGTCCTCACGATCAGGCATGAACAACTGAAATGTGGACTTTTTTGGGAATTAACATTTATACACTGGCCCAATAATCAGGTGACTTTTAAATATCAATTTTTTTTTAATAAAGGGTTTCTTTAAATATCATATTAAATATGGCCCGATTGCTTTAGTAAAAAACAGAACATTTGTCAAAACAATTTAATGATTTATTGCTAAATCTGATTGATACACTTACCATAAGGGGAAAACGCCATAATACATATAAAAAATCTCCACAACAAAAATTTAAATTTAAATTTATCCAAATCATTATACAAGAAACAAATCAGTTTAAATTTATCCTATAATTACTAGCAAAGAATCAAGCTCTTTTTATTTAGATGATCTTCTAACAGTTCCTCGAGATATATTTCTATATAATTAGCAGATAAGTTGGCCCAATATATGGTTTTCATTATTTGTCTCTTAAAAAGGCTTTATAAATAACAAAATTTTGTTCTCGCTCTTTTTTTTTGAACTCATGTTTTTGTTTTTTTCATATACCACAGACATAATAAGAAGATGGCTTGCATTGTTTCTAGGTTCAAAGTTTTATATTTGTCTTTCTTATTCGTCGTCGTAGCAAGTCTTCCAAGTGCTACAGCATTGCCGAAAGTTTTCAACGTCCGACATTATGGTGCTATAAATGACGGCAAAACTGATAATGCCAAGGTATGTAGTGTTATAAAAAAAAAATTCCTGTTTATTGATTATATTTTAGGTTCAATAGATAGTTGAACTCAATTCAATAGAAAAAATATTAGGAACAAGCTATTCATTTGGAACCCTTAAAAGTACATAACCTACATATGATAGTATTAAAGTACCAATATAATTTATGAATTTGATGGTTAGTATGACGAGACTATAGTTAAATGCACACACCTTTCTATCATATTTGTTTTTAATCGTATTTGGTAAGAATTTGGAATTTATTAAAAGTTTCACGGTGCAAGAGATGTTTTCTCCACCTTTTGGTAGAGGTCGTTGAGGTAATACAATTATAGAAGACGAAGGAGGTTGGAGCTAGTCCTTTTAACTATTCTTCCTCGTTTACTCTAACCAATATTTTCTTACACTAGTTCGGATTGATAATGGTTCCCCCATTTAGTTCATGCTTTCAACTTTTCTCCGTACTTATCTTTGCTATTAGCAGATAATTAGCATCATTTGTAGCCTTTTCATGCTATTAGCAGATAAGTTGGCCCAATATATGCTTTGTGGTCTTTATCTAATTAGCATCATAGCTTGTAGCCTTTTTTAGGTTTATTTATTAATTATTTTTTTGAAAAAACTTATTTTTTTTTTAAACTTGAAACACGTTAGACGTTTTGAAAAAACACAGATTACAAAAAAAAGTTATTTTATCACTTTATTCATCATCATTAATTGGTTATGATATCAACGTTCAAAAAAACAAAACAGAAAAACTGTTGGTTGTGATATGAGTGTCCATATACTTATCAAGTTCTTTATGTGTATATATTAGGTGTTCACAAATGTGTGGAAACGTGCATGCTTAAGAAGAAGTGGACATAGTATAATCTATATACCGAGAGGAACATTTTATCTCGGTGGTGTACAGTTCGTGGGACCATGTATAAATAAAATGGAATTCGTTATCAATGGAATTTTATTAGCTCCTGCAAACCCTAAAGAAATTAAACAAAAGATTTGGATCAACTTCAGATATATTGAAAATCTCTCTATCTCTGGCAAAGGAACACTCGACGGTCAAGGAAAAAAATCTTGGCCACTCAATGACTGCTATAAGAATCCTAATTGTTTTCAATTTGCTATGGTACGTACCATTTCTTAAATCTTTAATACACGACTTTTTGTTTATATAATACTAGATAAATAGTAATATTGGCTTAAAAGATTATGATAGCTTTTTAACACATATGTAACTTCGAAAAGTACATATAGTGCTCTTTATTTTTGATCATATCCGTAATTTCTTTGTTATCTATAGAGTGGAAACATAGTTGAGTCTAGTTTTTTTAAGTGGAAGATAATAATCAATATAAATGGAACCATCTAACTCATCTAAATTATTTTGATTCGCTTAAATATGTTTGACAGAGTATGGGGTTTTCATTCGTTAACAACTCAAATATTAAAGGGATAACATCACTCAACAGCAAAATGGGACACTTCAACTTATTCTCAGTACATTATTTCAACATCACTGGGGTCACTATAAGAGCTCCAGGCAATAGTCCTAACACAGACGGGATCAAAATGAGTTTATCGAGCAACATTCGCATCTCCAACACTCGTATTGGCACAGGAGACGATTGTATCGCCATTCTCGCTGGAACATCTAATATTGATATCTCTAAAGTAAATTGTGGTCCTGGACATGGGATTAGTGTGGGGAGCTTGGGGAGTAACAAATATGAAAAGGATGTACATGGCTTAACGGTAAAAGACTCGGTTTTTAACGGTACGAGTGATGGTATTAGGATCAAGACATGGGAATCGTCGGCTTCAAAGATCCTCGTCTCAAACTTTATTTACAAAAATATTCAGATGATTGATGTTGAAAAGCCGATCAATATTGACCAGAAGTACTGCCCCTATCCACCGTGCAAAAAGAAGGTAAGTATAATTAATTTGCTAGACGAAGAAAGATAAGCTTCTTCTTTTGTCTTACAAGAAACCTGAAGTATGAAGTTTTTTTTTTTCTTGGATTTTGTAGGGAAACTCTAATGTTCAGATCCAAGACTTGGAATTAAATAACATATTTGGAACCTCGACAACCAAAGCGGCAGTGAGTCTCCAATGCAGCAAGAGCACTCCTTGTAAAAATATTAATCTAATTGACATTAGCCTAAAACACAATGGACCTAGGAAGAATGGTCCTGCCACTGCGGTGTGTATGAATGTTAATGGTTCTGCTCGTGGCAAGATGGTGCCTCGGCATTGTCCTGGATTTAATAGACTAGACTAAACGGTGGTGTTGTTGTATTTGATGATATTTTTCATATATATAGTTTTTTTATTAATTAAACGCATGCGTGTGTTTTTCATATGCAATGATCTAACTTTTAGTAGTATTTTTTTTTTCATCAAACATGTCTCAGTAGTGAATAACTGTATTGCCGTAAATTGTTAAATGGTTTTAAATATAAGTCAGATCGAGCAACATCATCTAAATCATTTTATACACGCATACCAAATTAAATTTTTGAAAAGTACTTTTCTATTTTGTTTCATATATTAGAAAATCATGCGGATCAACCCCCAATTTTGATAGACTGGTCCAACAATCCTCCGAAAATATTTAGAAACCCTAAGAGGGAAAAGTCTGAATCGCTCATATCTTCTCATATGTAGAGAGATTCATCAATTTTCTATTATTATTTTTTTCGATTCACCGCTTCTCCTCGTGGCTAGATTTATCATGAGTAAACCGAGATGGTTTCAAGTATCGACAGAGGAACAGTTTGATGGATACTGCAAAAAGCATAGTTGTGGTTTCCGAAAAAACATCTTCAGGTTTTGAGTCCTGCGACGTAGTCTGCCTGGAGGGCATAGATCCACACCATATTCAACCCCATGCTCGAGTGTGTGATCTTCGTATCTATAAACCCTAATGTATATTTTATCTTTAAACTTAATCATAAAATTTGCTTCTTTGAACTAATGCTGGTGGAACATGTTTTGGAGAATGAAGGTGATTTGTCCAGCTTCTATAAAATTTAATTTGGTCGGAGGATGATTCTAGAGAAAAGTCAAAAGATCTATCAATCCACCCTTGTAGTAATCCGGAGAGAATCATTCTATTGAAGAAGGGGTCTCGAAAAAGAAGAGAATTTTTTGGCAGCGACGAAGACATGTATGCATCTTACTAGTTGCCCAGATATATCTCCTGGTCTTAAACATTCCTCATGATTTTCTTTCGTGGATACATTATATATGTCTTAGCTTAAGATGAGGAGATTGTTTAGCATAAAATCTTTGCTATATATATGTTAGTTTCATTTACCACTCTTTTAAAAGTGATAGTTTTCTGTTTGCATGCATAAAATCTTTGCTTGAGAACTAACATAATATGAACCTCTATGAATTTGGTTTATTCTGTTTCCTTGGTTCTTTTGTTTCAGTTGTAGTCGATGGGGATTAATGATCGGATGATGTTGATTTGACTTGTGAGATCTAGACTTTGCTTTTATATGGGTTCTCATTTGGCATAATGATTTTAAAAGGATGTGATGATATCTTATAACATGATTGGCACCATCCTGACTTGGGTCATGGGTGAGTTGGTTATACCATATCTTCATACGATATATATCTATAATATGATTTTTTGTACCAAGTTTGCAACTGTTGCTGCAAAAAGACTTTTCTGAAGTATGCGACAAGGAAAATCAGAAATAATAGAGAGGGAAGCAAATTTAAGACCAATATCGTATCTCCTATATATTAAAAGAGAAACATTTTTAAAGAATAATCTTAATTTTGTAAAATATTACAATTATGCCATTTTGCTGATGTGTCATTACCAGAATCATTTTCAGCAAAGTTATAAAAATAGACTTATGTTACTAGATTAATTACATATTATGTCATTCACATTAATTTGGTTATACATTAGTTTATATCAATTATATTGATGATGATTCATCAAAATATTCTTTTTTTTATTTCTTACCAAAAAAATATCATATTAATTCTTTCTTTAAATACTATATTTTATCTTTTATTTTTGTAGAAAAATAAACCATCACATCATTCATATAGTAAAATAATATATATATAGTGTTATAATTCGAATTTCATAAAAAAATATAAACTACTCAAATGATTAATAAATAAAAGTATGTTTTGAAAGACTAAAATTGAAAATAAGGATATGTAGATAGATGATTCATAAATTAATATAAAAAATACATAAATGATAAAAAAACAGAAAGCTCAATTCAATAGATATTATTATTATAATTATTTTTGGTTTCATATGGTTTTAGAACCATATAAATTAACCAAATAATATAAATATTTAAACTTTATAATAAGTATAAAATATTAATAAAAAGTTCAACTATAAAAAAGTAGTTGAATATGTTAATAGAATATAATATTATAAATATTTTATTTTATTAAAAAGTTAAATATCATAAATTTTTAATTTATACAACAAAATAACTTGGTAAAAATTAAAATATTTTTGTAAAGATATTATATAATAATTTTATTAAACTTTTTGATATTAAAAATATTTTTATTGAATCAAAAAGTTAAGAATGTATAAGTATTGACTCATTTATATATAATTTTAGATAATGTATTAAAATAATAAAAATATAATCTATTTTTATATAATTCTTATGTATATTTAGTATTTAAAATAAATTTCACAGTAATTTTCTTTTCTTAAAAGTTAATATTCTTATGCCTATGATTTTTGCGGATTAATCTAAATATGCATTTACATTTGTAAAAAAAAAATTAAAATCGATTATAGAATCTTATAATCAAATTTTATTTTTACAATTTTAATACTCTCTATTTCAAAATATAAATTATTTTGCATCAAAGCACAAAAATTAAAAGCAACTTTTCTTTTTAAAAAGTAATCATTTAGTATATAAATTAAATATAATTCAACTAATTATGAAAAACTGAAAAATATAATCGGTCACATAGTATTCATATGAAGTAGTAAAAAAATAAAAAAAAATATATTGTGAAACAAAATAAAACCTTTTAAAAAAATTATGAAACAGAGGAAGTAGTAAATTTTTTTTATTATTATCATAATGCATTAGATACTTAATAATTTAATCAAAATATACTCCCTCTATTTTTTTTTTAATTTTAACATCATGTTATTAATCATCGGTTATAGAAAATATAAAGAGCGACTTCATATTTCTATCCAGATTGCGCATAAATATTTAATTTTTAATCTAATTTACATTAGAATTAAATTACCCTATATTTTATAAAATAAAATAAAAAATATTTTATCAATATTACAGTATAATGTTATAAATAATTCATATAAAATAAATTGTATTTTGTTATATGATTTTAAAATTATACTATATTAAATAAATAATTATTATTTTATCTCGTACATGATACGGATTATTACCTAGTTATATATAAAATGATACTCTCATTGCTACCTAACCAAAGAGGAAGAAGCTCCCTCCTATGATCTCCGTGAAAAATAGGGATTCTTGAAAACGACAAGATGAATTCGCTTCTATTTACTTTACAAGCATAATTATTATCCATTAATTTATTGTAAATGTGCTTTGTAATTCATTATGACAAAAAAAAACTTAAAAATGTAACTGCAAATATTAAAAAAAAATTTAAGTAAAAATTAAAGCATTCAACTAAATCACCCATGTTTCCTTTTCTTATCTTTTGAGATGTATGAAGTCTAAATTTTTTTAATTCATCTGCAAATATACCCATGTGTCTATAATTACAAGTCTTACATATCATAGTTGCTTTAAAATTTGAAGAAAAAATGAAAACATAAGCGAAAGAAAAGAAATACAAAAGCAAAATAAAAAATATCTAAATGAGAACAACAAGAAACCAAAAATATATACAATTCTTCTGCTTAAAAGGAAGAGTGGCTCAGTGAGAGTAATTCTTGTTAGATTGTTGAAGTTTTGAAGAATCGCAATGTTGCTCAGGATGATGTCTAAAACTTGATTGACCCTAACATTCATGAATAAACACAAATTGCCTTAATTTCTTTGTGAAAAGAGAGAAGCACATGAAATTTGAGACATTTTCAAAAGGTCTAATTTAAGTCTTTTACCATGTCCTGAAGTCGTTCATACATAACTTCCGGTCTGAAACTTAATTGTTCCTGCCATAAAGTTTCATTCCAACAAAAATGAGATATGGATATATTAGATAACATTTAGGGGCAATGCAAACTGATTCAGAGAACAACTTACAGTTCCATAAAGCCTTTGCTGAGTTATGGATTGTCCCTGCAATGAGATATATGATAAAAGATTATCAAGAAGTGTATCTCAGAGATTCTCTTTTCAAACACCAAAACAAAAATCAGTCAACATGCATACCAGCGAGTGTATGTATTGATGGGGAGTACTATATCCATTGCGATTTGAGGCCATCATGTTGATTTGTCCCTGTCGATCACACAGAGTCACTAACAATGTTAGTTTGAAGTTTTAACCTTTTTACTCTGTAGCTGTAAAGGACTCTTTTTTTCTATTTCTCGTGTACCATTTCATGCGACATTTGTTGAGCGCTGAGGTAGTCATCGAGAATCGAGTACCGGTTTCGTTGTTCTTGCAAGGCAGTTGCTTTCCAGACTTCATGTAATGAATGTTCCTTGACAAAGAGAAAGCAAGGTTAGGCCAAATATTTATCTCAAGAGATGAGATCAGGAGATTAGTTGTCTTGTTTCATGAAACAAGCTTAGAAGAAAAGAAAAACCTGTCCTGTGTCGGCCACATTCTCATCAAATGAGTTGTTGTTATCTTCTTCATGTCTTGAAAGATCTTGAGCTACATCGGAGTCTGACTCTTCAACATTGTGGATCACGTTACTTGTCTTCTCACAATTTCTTAAAGCTTCATTCAGCACATTCATCACGGCGTTATAGCTCTCTTCGGATAAAGATGCTTCCTCACTCAGTTTCAAAGAGCGTAGACAAAGATCCGTATACCGTTGAGCCTTAGTTGAATCTCCATCGATCTGATCAGATTCTATCGCTTCTCTGCTTTTTGCATCTTTTGTCCAACGCTTCAACACATACTGACAAGGAATAGTAAGCTCCCCAGACATCTGCAGAACAATCACGGCGTGTCTACATAGAAATCCTTTGAGCTCAAACAATCGACATGAACAGACAACTTCAGATGATTCAGAGTTCCACACCACAACGAAAGCACGGTTCTGTTCATAATCTTGAACCCTGAAAGTCCTCTCGCTACCCCCTTCTTCTTGGCTTTCTTTTTTCGGATGACAAGCAACTCCTCCCAACACCTCAACCTGAAACTTCTTGAACATCTCACGTGTGTATACCTCAACCATTTGCTTCCCAAACGGTGAAGGTGACTTGAGTTCAGGTTGTTTATACAATGTCTCGATCTCCGCTTTCTCTTCCTCTTTGTATCTCTCTTGTAACATCGTCTTGTACTGATCAAGAAATGCCCTCAACGTAGTTTTCCTTTGAATGTATTTATCGAAACCAGAGTTCACGCTATCCGATCTCTGAACTGTACATATTCCCGCTAGAGAAACACCTTTCATATACACAGGAACCCAATATTCTCTATCTTCATACAACGAACGAAGCCACGCGTTGTCTCTCACATGAAACCTATCGACTACTTCCCACCATTTCTTTTCAAATTCATCGCTCTTGTAAGAACCGTAAATTGCCTCATTTATCACATCTATAAAGCTTTTCTCTTGTCTCATAACATGACCACCAATCTTCTCCGGCATCTGACCAAGAGTATCCCACATATGAAAACAATGTCTAGAAGATGGGAACGCCTCTGAAACAGCTTCTTTGAACATTTGGTCGTGTTTCGTAAGTATAACTCTAGGTTGACATCCGTGCATCGCTTTTAGCCATGCTCGAAAAAGCCAAACGAATCCGGATTTAGACTCATTCGCTAGTAACAATCCAGAACCAAGCAACAGGAACTGTCCATGGTGGTTCACGCCAATAAAGGCGACAAGAGGCAGTTTATACTCGTTCTTGATAAACGTAGTGTCGATAGATACAACATCACAGAAACAAGTATAATCCAATCTGCCCTTTGCATCAACCCAAAAGACGTTCCTTAGGCTCTGCTCCTCGCTGAGATCAATGGCATGGAAAAAGAAAGGATTCTCAGCTTGCATATCCGTAAAGAAGTCTAGGAGCCTCTCAACATCCACATCCTCCAAAGCAGGAAGCTTTCTGCTTTTCATCTCCTTCACAACAGCACCGTTTGGTTTCTCGAGGGTTTTCACAACACCATCTCTTATGCAACTGGCTTGTCCAGGGAAAGTTTCGTGGTTATGCTCTTTAACCAAAGTGCGAATAACCCACCTCCCGTCTTGCCTTCTCTTAACATGTAAGCATGCTTTACAATCAGTTTTAGACGATGAAAGGTTTTTTCTACCCCGTTTCCTTGCTTGAGGGACGTTACCTAAAACGGTATCTCCTTCCTCTGTTTTCTTGCGTCCATAACGCGTGCAAACAAACTTGGCATCGATAAATTTACCAGTCATTCTTGAACGACGGCTAGCTTTTACGATGGTGTTAAAACCAACAGACTTGGCATATTCTTTGTAGAACTCAAAGGCTTCCTCTTTTGATTCAAACTCTATCCCTTCATTGATCCTTAAGTTTATCCTTTGATCATCACTCTCTCCTGACGGCATTTCGAGGTCAATCCCCATCAACTAAATCTCTTGGATCAAATCAACCCTGTGAGAAACATAATTGGTCAGTAAACCAAACTCCAAAGTTGCAAGCTTTACGAGGATTAACATAAAATTCTCTTTGAACAAAGACATTCTGACACCAATGGAACAACTGAAACTTCAAATTTGTTCATAGTGTAAAATCAGAATACTAAGACCTCAAAAGGTAAGCAAAACAGCTTCAGAGATGGAAACTAATCATCAAGATAAGTCAAAACATTTAGAAACTATAATAAGCACAAAGTCAGCTCGAACCATCGGACCCAATTGTTAACAGATTGAGACGAATCAAACTCATGATCGAAGCAAAACGCAGAAACGAAGTTAGGCAACTCAAATGAAGATCGACATACTAACAGAGCGAATCAGAGAAAAAAAATCAGAAACTAATTGACTAAAGTGATACAGTTTGGGGGGAAAAAAATGCATTTACATGATTGTTGATGAAGACGGGGAGAGTGATGATGACCGGACGCGAGTACAGAGTCTACTTTCATTTCAGCAGAATTTTGATCTTAGGGCAATGAATCGTCTTCGTCGCCGTCGTACTCGCTTTTACTATACTCGCGGTTATGTTGTCTTTCTCACCTCTTAATCCGGTTATCGTATACTTAAACCTGATTCAATTTATCGATAACCGGTTTTTGTGTTTTGAGCCACACATTCAATTTCTTATTTCTCCCCTAATTATCTTGTTTTCCAGGTTCTCTGCAGATGTAAAAATTGGGGATTGGAGGACAAAATTGCTGATTTTCTCGGAGAAATTAGACAGAATTTTCCCCAGGTTTCGTATGTTTCTGATTTTCACAAGAAATTAAGATAAATTTTCTAGATTTAAGCTTCAGGTAGTTAGTTTTCTCAGGAAAGTGTGCGTCTTAAAATGTTGATTGAGCTCGTTTCTGATAAATTTGCATTTTGTTCTTGCTCATCGTAAACCAAGAAAATATAAATATTTGGATAGTTTCTTTAGCTTTCTGTTACCCCTCGTTAGTGGAATGCGAATTGTATAGTGTATAGTTTGTTTCAGAAGCGACACTCTGATGAATTTAGGAACCTGATGCTGTAAGATTTTGGTTTTTTCCATGTCCTGTTTCCTGGTTAGGTTAAATGGTGGATCGTTGTGTGATCAAGATTGCTTGAAGAAATGGGTTTTGCGGTTTGTGTTGGCAATTCACCTCTCGTGTCTATGGAACTGAGGTGGGTAAGAAGAAGCAAATGTGACAATGCTGCATCTGCACTGCCTCGTTCGATACCTATTTATATCTCTACGCTGAAGAAAGACATAGATCTGGAGGAACTGAGACATTTGTATTCACACTGTAACCACTCTTGCAACCGTTTATCAAGCATTGTCGAAAAGACTGTTGACATGAAGAAGCTGCGTACGGCTATCTCCCGCAGCGATGTTGTTGTCTCTGTGTTTTGCAAACAGGGTCTTGTTGAAGAGAGCACCCGTGAGAACGATGATGATGCTGAGGTGGTTTTATATTCAGGGGAAGAAAGTTTGTCATCGTCTTTGTTTCCTTCGAACTTCAGGAAACAAAACAAGGATGAGAGTTCTCTGGGAGACTTGTTTCAGGATGTGTTGCCTCTCAGTCCTTCAACCGGCCAGCTTGTTGGGTTCGGTCGTGCCTATTCTGACCATGGCTTGACCGCTTCTGTCCACGATCTAATGGTACTTTTAAGTTTAGCAGGTCTACTCGAGCTGAACTGACTAGTGTTTGGTGCTAAGATGTGTAATCTGGTCTCAGTGTCTTCCAGGTTTTACCTTCACTACAACAGATGGGGATCGGTAAACTGATAGTTAATCGAATTATCAGGTTTGATGGTATTTTCCTCTATGATTTTGCTTACTTAAAAGGTTAGCTCGTGAAATATCAAACTGTGAAAAAACTGTTTAAACAGGCTTCTCACAAGCAGAGACATCTATGACATAGCAGCTCTCTGCTTCGAGCATGAAAGGTACCGTCTTTGCCTCTGACATAAGTTATACCCACCCTTACAGCTTGTGAGCTCTTTGTTGTGTCCTTTCATGCTGAGTTTAGAATCGATTCCGGGAGCACTTAGGTTATAGAAAGGATTTGGTGATGGTATTTTACTGAGTAGTATTAGTTTGACTCTTAATGCGAAATGCAGAATGCTTATGTATATTTACTGATAAAGAAACCCTTTTTTTTCTTTTTCTTAGGCCATTCTTCAGAGCCTGTGGGTTTGCAGATGACAGGATGGGTTCAACAACAATGATGTTCACGAATAGCCTGGAGGCATAAGACCGAGAAGGCCGTTTGATCTTCAGAAACTGCAGGTGCAGGTCAAAGCAAGTTGAATGATCTCAAAAGTACTCTGCGATGATAGTGTGTTTCTTGCATTTGGATTTGGTATATCTAGTGACCACTCTTTTTTCACTTTTCATGCAAGGCAATGCATACATATACACTCAAATAGTTCAAAACCATTCGCCTAAATTTGAACTTTGTAAATTTGCTAAACCGGTTTTTTATTTTTACCTATATACTGTTTTGAAAGGTGGGAAAATGTACATATCAATTGAATACATGTTATTTTGGGCTTATTCTTCGTAACTTTCCCAGTATATTAGCTTGGCACGAAATCAAAAAGTATTTGCGGCAAGTTTTATTGTAGTTAGTGGGGATGTAAGCAACAATAACTAAAACCTGCATAATTATAATTATATGTTTACGAAAACATAATTTAATGAACTCGTGATAATCTATCACGAATATAATTTCTAATTAAATTTAAATAGTAAAGAAGACTTCTGCTTACGAAAAATTATTTTCCTTAGGAAATATTTTTGTATGTTAAGGTCACGTAACTTCTTGCAATAATATCTTTCACCGATTTCCAATTTTATCTTTTTTACTTATGTACGCATTTTTCCTCTTTTGATGAAATTTGCAGAAACATTCTAAAGAAAGTGATGAATTATAATTATTGAATGCCAACAAAAAATTGTGTAAAAAGTAAATGTTACTGCCAAACATTAATAAAAAGTATAATGTGCTCGTATGAATGTTTGTTTGATTGATAATAAATGCATCCACAAGTATACTACTATTATACATGTGGTGTTGACTTTTTCAGCTCTGTCAACAACTTTTTCAGCTCCCATACGAATGATTTTAAAGCTTTTTTACTATTCAAAATAGAAATTTTTACATGTTTTCAAACCCAAAAAAATTCAAATTAGGATCACGATTTTCTGTTAGATTCCTTTTCTCACGGGTATTCTTTATATTTCAAGAAAGTATCTTATATAGATTTATGACTTCTCTCTTTAACATAGTTTTTTAATTAACATGTTTGATGGTTCAAAACTTCAAATGATGGGCCGTGGTAGGCTCCTGCTGATCACGTGATTTATACAGAGGCTATATGCATATACTTTTCGTTAATAATGACTTGATGAGGATTAAGGACTATAATATGTTTACTTTATCTACCTTTTGGTCCGAATTCATTTAAGTTTGTATTTCAAAATATTATGTGGATATTGATCTCATTATGCTTTCTGCGCACCATGTATTAATAATATAACAAATTTACAATTTCTATTAGTTTAAGTAAAAACTTAAGAGTACAAGAGTGTTGATTTGATATCAAAGTTTATAAATAGAAGAAGTCAAATACATAATTACTTACTGTTTTGGTGAATCATATGCTCCTTCTGTTTTTTTTATAAGATATTTTAGAAAAAAAATTTGTTCATAATTAGATGATGTTTTCAAAAATCAATGTAAAAATTAATTATTTTAATTGTTTAAATTATGTATATTATATTTCTATTGGTTGAATTGTTTTAGAAATGATGTTTTATTTTGGAAAAAGAGAAAATTAAATAATTTTTTAATATATATACAAAACTTTAAACATTTTATATAAAAAAAACGGAGGAAGTATGAATTACTCATGTAATAATGATTTTTGAGTTTATGATTTTGCTTGATATTATCAAGACTTAAATCGGTCTCATGTTAGGGAATAGGGGGACGTTTATATTTATGTTAAAGTGGACCTGTGTGCAAGTAGGTTTATACAATTTGAAGTTTTCTTTTCGAATCATATAATGATAAAACTTGAATAAAACTACAATGGGCCAAAAAAAATATTTAACCATTTCATGAAGTGTGCTACTGTGTTATTTACAACAATTGTCATTAATGAATTAATATAAGCATTATGTATAAACTATATAAATGGTACTAAATGTTCATATCTTAATAAATGTTCAAAAACTATCATGGTATTTATAATATATGCCATTGTATTTATTAGATAATTTTATTAATTCATTAAGACTAATTTAGTCATATCATTAAACTACTAAAATTCATTAAACTAAATTATATTAGTTTGTTAATATAATACCAATAAATTATATCTGATATTAATAAAATTTAAGTTAATTTAATTTCGAAATTATCAAATTATTTCATAATATCTTAACATAATTACCACATATATATGACATGAATAACTAATATAATTATATATATATTATATTATAATCAATTTATTCTCTATTCATTTAAAAGAAAAGCACTATTTAAAAGCTAATATGGAATTTATTAAATGTGATAATTTATAGTCAATAATAAATATATAATTATTATTTTTTGGTTACATATATACATACTATGAAAAAATATTATGTTTTTTTCTGGTTTGTTAATGTTTTTTTTGCGGGAAATCATGGGTTTGCGGATTTGAAAAATACAGATTTGTAGATTTTACGGGTTTTATAGATTTTGATGGAAAATATGGTTTTATAAATTTTATTGAAAATGCAGGTTTGCGGGTTTGATGAGAAATGCAGTTTTACAGGTTTGAAAAAAAATCAAGTAATTTTAGAAATTTAACCATATAATACGGTTTTATGGTGTTGGGAAAAACATAATTTTTGGTTTTGTTAAAAATGTGGATTATACAGTTTGGAAGAAAAATACGGTTTGATGAAAAATGCTATTTTTACAGTTTCTACGGGAATTCCCGATTTTGGTACAATAATATGATTTTAGTAATTTCTGGTTTTGTTAAAAAAATGTGGGTTTAAAATTTTGGCAAGAAAATGTTGTTTGATGGAAAATGCTATTTTTACAGTTTCCACGGGAATTCCCAATTTTGGTACAACAACGTGATTTTAGTATTTTGCGGGAAAATACGATTTTTTCGATAAAAAACTCTGATTTTATGGTTTTGACAAAGAAAACACTTGATTTTGTTGTTTAAATTAAAAGGTATTTTGCTCTTTTAATTTTTGAGATTCAAATGCTGCATCTAAACTCTATTTTTTAGTATTTTAAATATTCAAATTTTGAAATATTATATATTTTGTATCCAGATATTTAAAATTATAATATTTAAGCATTTACATCCAAATAAGTATCTAGATACAAAAACAAACAAAACCTAAGTAAATATTAAAATTTTAATTAAAAACAAATAAAATCTTTTTTGTATTATAAAATATAAAATTTTGAAATATTTTTTATAAAATTTAACAGAAAATCTGCAAATCAAATTTTTTTTTTTAATAAAATCAAGCCTAAATAATTTTAAAAACATAAAACCGTAATGTAAAAATAATTTATATAATTTAATAAAAAATTTCTGCTTGGACCATAATTTTGAATTTAATAATATAAGATTTTTTTAAAACAAAAGTTTACTATAAACCAATTTTAAATGTGGCCTAAAAATATTTTTTAAAAAGAAACCATTGTAAATATACGGATCTAAAATCTAGTCATTATTTTAAATATAATTTGTGTCCATAGATCCACAATTTATTAAATCGACGATTAAATATAGAGTATCAAGTACTTACATTGACCATCTTAGGGGAAAAAACAAAAACAAAACCAAACTACTTACATTAATATTTTTTATATAACATCAAATTAAATCAAAGTGGATTTATAATTATATAAAAACGGGCGTAAATATCTATGCAGAGCCTATACGCATACATACATATATGATATGTCACATGGGGCGGTTACTTTGTTCTTTTCCTTTTCTTTAAATCTTAAAAAGTTGCATAATGTAGATATTATATGTGCTCTCATTAAAATGAATTAATTAACAAACCAACCATCAAAAACAATGGGCCAATGCAATTGGAATAAATAAAAAATGTAGACAAAGGAGAAGAAGGTTAAGAAGACGAAATCTTGACTCAGCTTCATGTGTTTGATTCCTAGCCATGTGCACTGTATACCTACCATAATTGACGATTCAATACATATGGTACAACGGAAACTTATTTTGAATAGACAGCATTCTCTTAAAGAAACATGTAACCATATTTGTAAAATATAGGTTTATGGATAATGTTTATTTAAGCCAAAATACAGAATCGTAATCTTTAAATAGATAAACTACTTGCATGTATAATATGAAAATGGTGAACTAAGAAAACTTCGATATCTAGTTAATTTTTTGATCAGCATAAAAAACAAACATTGGAGTATATCTACTACCAGCTGGTATAGTAGTTGTTACTTTTCATAATTGTTATGGTTGTAATTATAGATAAAATTGTAAAATATTTTTAATTATAATTAACTTAATTTTAGTTACTAAAATTGTATAATTTAGTAACTAAATTTAGTTACAAATCTATAACAATATTTATAACTGTATATTTCATAACAAATTCGTTATGATTAGTGACAAAATTTTGTTACTTTTGAGTTAGTCATAATATTATGATGAAATAGTAATATTTTTATTATTAAGTAACTTTGTTAAATTTCGTATTTCGTATGTAAATCTTCAACAATATTATGACAAAAAAAATTGTCACTAATTGTTAATCACAATATTCACTTTTTTGTAGTGTGAATATTAGCTTATAAGACCTAACTATAAATATATAGTATTTAAAAACTAATTGAGTGAAGGAAAAAACTATAGAGCAACTGTGTGTAAATAATTTGTACAGGTTTCGGTTTTGCCATTTCACACTTTCAATATCTTAGTTTGCTAAAACAAGAAGCATCGATTTTTCGTTTTGGTTGGTTCAGAAAGAGTCTATTGTCTTTATCTTAAATGTTTTAATAAAATATATATTAGGTTTATATATATATATATTCACTTCTGTTTATATAGACATACATACGCTTGTCAGATTATTAGTTAGATTATCTCTTCATCATAAGACTCAACAACACTCTCACTCTCTCTCTACAGTCCATCTAGTCATATAAATGGCATTTTCTCGGCATATACCCAACGGAAAGACCGCCGCCGTAAGCACTGTGACTAAGAAGTCCGATGTCACAACTCCGCCGCCTAACTGCTGCGTCACGTGCCTAGCCAGACTCATCAGGAAACTGAAGAGAAAGGGGAGGTTGTGGCTGTCGGAGACGGCGGCTCGGAGTCGGAGACAAGGGAGCTCGTTGCAATGTCGGTATGATCCATTGAGCTATTCACTGAACTTCGACGGTGGCGCGTGTGGTACAATTCCAGATGATGAAGATTATTATTTCCGGTTCTATGCGTTTTCTTCAAGATACGTTACTACTAATTCTATCAAGAAAAGACCACCTCCTCCTCGTGAAACCATCTCTGCCTCTACACACGAGTTTGTGTAATGTTATCTGTCATTCCTTTTTTTCTCCAAAAAAGTAGTTTAGTTAGTTTTGTATTAATTTGTATTTTTAGAGATTTAAATCTAAGTTTATTTTTTTATAAATTGAAGTGTAATTGTTACAACAACAAAAAGAGATTCATTATTAGTTTGGAGAAATTGTTTTATTTAATGTAGTGGAAGTGTGGAACCTACATTTGAAAGAAAGAAAAAATTACAATATAACTAACTATATAAGTCTTGTAGCTAAGTACTTACGTTATTTACCCCAACAAAAAAAGTATTTACGTTATTAGTTGGATTACATCAACGGCTGAGTATAATGTAAGTGAGTTGTAGAAAAACAATATGGTGTGAGTTCTGATTAACTATAAGAAATTTAATCAAATTTGAGCGTTCGACTGTTTAGTAATCCCTTTCATAAATGAAACAACAATTTGAGAGAAAAAAAATTCCTTATTAGTGTGAGGGTTTTTTTAGTAATCCCAAAAAAATAAACATAGGTGTAAAAAAAATACAATTTTATACCACACGCCGAAACCGCACGTTAGCGTCACTCACTTCATTTTGGTTTTGGGTGGACTAATGCACGCACGTAGTTGTTTCTAAACACGACAATATCAATGAAAAACTAAAATGTTTTGACACACATATATTAGGGATAAACATGACCTTTGTTAAATTGATCTACAAAAAATTACAGATTATATTCTTTTTTTTTTGGTCAACAATTACAGATTATATTCAAAGATGTAAAACTAAAACGTAAAATGAGTATAGTTTATACATAAAAATGGGAATCCGTGTAAGCCATAGTGGAAGGCGATGCATGTTTGTTAGCGACTCGAGACAAATTCGCCGAACGCTATTTTCATAGTCTTCTACTTCTAGGGTTTCTTTTTTTGACTACTTGACATAAGTTTTTAATTAGACGGTACTAACGATAATCGCATGTTACACCGCATGAAATTGTGAGCCACTCGAGATAGGAGAGAGACTTAAAGAAAACAAATTAACATAATTTTAATATTAATTCATTAGACAAAAAGGCCTTAATTAAAAACTGATAAACATGGGTGTATTCGGTTTACAGGCCGGTACAAACCATACTGACTGGTTGCATAAAAATGACTTCCTTCATTTTCTCTTTACAAATTATTTCTATATATAATTCTTCGTATTCTACAATTTACTTTGTTACAAACCTACAAAAAAAAGCTTCTACCAAACCTTTCATAAAACAATAAACACAATGCATAATCCTAGTTATCTAAACGTACTTAGTTGAAAGCTTTACGTTTAGATAACCATAATTGAAGCCATCAACGAAGTACGTTAAGATAACTAGGATTGTGCTTTGTGTTTACTGCTTTTCGCAGCGCCATTGCAAAGTTTGATTAATGGCTTCAATTATGATTTCTGGCTTGTTAGCATTTGATTAAAAAATTAAAAGGAAATACAAAATGGGTGAAAGCTTTTTGGGCCGAACATTCATTTGTGGATCCCATTTTAGGCCTTTGACTGACTTTATGTCCGATAGTGATTGACTGATTGCTCTGACTCTGAAAATTTGGCTTTTAACAAAGATCAGGAGTAAAAGGTCAAGAATCCTTTTTTCTTTGGAATTAGTGATAAAAAAAAAATCAGATTGAATTGTCTCTAAGAAAAACATTTAGATTGAATTCGTGAACTTTTCTTTTGTCAACTATTGGTGAACGTTAAAAATAAAATAAAAAATGAAAATAATCCAACATATATATCTCCAGAAGTAGGGGTGGACACAAAAACCATAACCGAAAAAATCAAATCATATCAAACCGAAAAAAGTGTTATGGTTTGGTTATGGTTAAACCTAAAAATCTATTTGGCCTTTATTTTTTTATAGTTTTGGTTTAGATTTGGTTTGGTTAAAAACCGTCAAACCTATAGGTTTTTTCGGTTTTTAAACTAAATTTTAAATAATTTATATTTTTCTAGTTTCTTATTTTAGTTTAAGTATATATTTTATTATTTGGCTTAGTTATCATTATAATTTACTAACTTAACTCATAAATTTAAAAGATAATATTTATAAAAAATATCTACATATAAATAATAAAGTAAACCTTAATTTTTCAATAAAAAAAACATGATTAACTATTTTTTCTTCATATTCAAGTCTTCTAGTTCTAGTTCTAAAGATATAGGTATTAAATTTTAATCTTGATTTATTTATTATTTTATAATTATTGATTAAGAAAGATTTGATAATTTGTTTGTTTCTCTATTTTGAAATCTGTCCTTATTGATGAATTTTTTATGATTTAAATTCTATTTTTGGATTTATTGTTTTATTTCACTCATATCTATTATATTATTTCCATTAGTTTAAATCAAAAACTTTCATAATAGTATAATTCCAAAAAACCGAAACCAAACCATATCAAACCGAACCGTAAAAAACTAAACCATACCGAACCGAAATATATATAGCTTTTATATGGTTTGAATTTTCGTAAAACCGATAAACCGTAAAACCGAAGAAACCGAACCGAAACCAAACCAAAAACCAAAGTGCCCACCCCTATCCAGAAGACAGAACCATCGAGCAAAATGAATAGATTATTTCTTGCTATAAGTTTCTTTCAATAAAAACTGTTACTCGATGTCATAAAACTTTACATTTTGTGCAAATGCCAGTTCTATATATCACAACATTTTAAGACTAGATCGAAAGATAATTATTAGAACTAAAATTGCAATCCTTGTGTAGTTTTATTGGATATCATTTTACATGACATATATATATATTTTGGTCCGAGGAAATTCTGGACCAAGTATTCGAAACTTCTTACTTAGTAATATAAAGAAGCTTATATATCATATATGATATACGTATGTTATATGTTTTGTAATGAAGAAAATTGTTCATTTACAACACAAGATCCATTTTCACAGTTTATTCTCTTCAGAAATTATACAACAAATTCCTGCCATAAACCAATCCAAATCCGAGTCTTTCAACTCACAGACACTTCATAGGTACACTCCAAGTCGTATTCTTAACTTGTTCAGATAAAGACAAATACTTTCTCCAGTCATCAAGAACAAGATTAAGATCATGAAGCTTCTTCTTTAATCCAATACAACAATTAGCATGCATTGTACACACTAAGTTTATGTCTCTGCTCGTCTGACAAAACCCACCAAAGTAAACCGTATCAAAGAATCTCATCTGGATTCCAATCTCTGAGACTAAAGCCTCGTGTTTAATCTTGTTGAATACATCTTGGTCATGTAATTCTGGATAATCCAAACGAGATTTGTACCAAAACTTGTAGAACTCGATGCTTCTATGGTTCGATTTCACGTAAGTGAAGCCTCCGTTTACCCAATTGTCTGAGTCATAAGGATCACCGAAGAATCGATCACACGCCATCTGAAAATCTCCATCCGGATATAGCCGAGGGAATGGATCTCGAAGCCACATTATATCTGCATCCTAAATATACATAGGGATCGAAATATCTAAAAATGACATCGTTATGTATTAATTTAATTCTCTATATAAAACTGAAAATAATTTTTTGGGAGTTAATGTTTTTTGGAAAAATATGAGATTCTAAACCAAAGTCTAGCATTCCCTCCATTTTGTAGTTAATGTTTTAGTATATTATTATACACACAAATTAAGAAAATCTGTATAATAATACTCATTGTAATCTTTTTATCATTTTTTATTTTTAGTTCATTAAATAATAGTACGACAGTAAAACAGATCATTTAGTATCAAGTATCAACTTTTGCTTTGATTTGTGAGAACATCACTCATTTTTAAACAAAAGAAGTCATAATACACCACATATTAAAAAAAATGGAGGGGGTATTATCGGTCTGTCAAAATTCAAGTGCTCTTGCTATTTAATGTGTACATAATGATAAAGTATGATTGAAATCGATGTGGGGATGAATTCAAACCACCCTGCAAGGCTGCAATAGTTTGGTAGATGTAATGTAATGTTAGTTGTGTTATTTTCTACTATTTCTTTTCTTTCTCTTTTTTTTTTTTTTTTTTTTGTGGCAACCGGGCTTTGTTAATTATAATGTCTTATATTCATACAACATTTTATGTGTAAATAATTTCTTTCTTTTTTTTAAATTGCATTTTACAATATAGATCCATTATGTTTATTTATTATATGGGTCCTATGTTAATGCAAATGCATATAGAGTTTCTTGATCATATATTGATTCAAAAGATATGTTAAGAACAATAAATTTGAGATGGATGGTGAAGATGAATACCGTGAAGATGAAGTTAAATCCCATTTCAAGCACTTGCGTGAGAAGCTCGATTCTCCGCCACATCATTTTGAGGTAATCTGGAGTAGCAAACCGTTTCTCGCCGGAGAAATCAATTCCTGATGTTTCTAAATAGTAGCAATGTGGGTGAAGTTGTGAACAGCGATCAAATGCCTTGGAATCCAAGCAAACTACAACCACGTGTTGGAGTAGCTTCTGTGTTCCTTGTCCGATACGAAAACTCTCAAGAAATAAATCGAACAGAGAGTTTGGCTCTGCCCATGCTTGGTTTAACGTTGTTACAATCACTGTTCGATTCTCTGTCGATGCATTCTCCAAAACTTCTCTAAAACTGATCGATTTTGATCTCTGAAAGAAACCAAAACAAATTTCTAAGTAAAGATTCGAAAAAAGATATCAAACATCTTTCAGACAAACCACAGATTGAGACATATGCATAAGTATTAAAACGCACTGTTTGTGGAGAAGACAAAGAGGTGTGATCGAGCAAAGGACGAGGAGAGGTGAGGTTGTTGACATTGAGGTCTTGACGAAGAGGATAAGCTGTTTTGTAGAGAAGAAGACATGAAGCAGCTAAACCTAGAAACAAGACCAAGATTTTCTTCACTTCTTTTTCTCCGATCACAGATCCCAAATCCAGAAATTTTGAAGGGGAAGAAGATGAAGAGTTCATGTGTTCTTGAAGAAGTTTTAAGCGTTTCT